GCTCTGCATAATATCATACAAGCACATGTGCATACCTCTGAAACTTCCGACCAACTTTGTATTAACTCAAAAGAAATATTTCCCTTTCTTTCCAGTACAATGAATGGTACTTTATAACGATGGACTGTCGCAGTAGGCTGCAGTAAGTGGGCTCTTGCAAGAAGAGACTGTGATATGAGTGATTACAATGAGCAAGTACTCATGCATACCCACAGCAAAACTGCTGGGTGAAAACTCAGTGAAAGCACGGTTCAGACCACAGCCTCCAATTCTATGCCTCCATTGCCAATTAACATTTCTGAAAAACCTATCAAAAGAAGTGAAAACCTATCCAATACTGCACCCTGACAGCCACTCGAACACGTCAGAAATGAAATAACACATCAGCAAAGCATGCGGGCCACTTGAACCTGTTCCAACTGAGCAATACGGGAAATATGCAGCTTTTAGGCTATACAATTATAATGAAACCAAGAGAGGCTTGCACAAAGTCTGAGATATTAACCACGGCGCAATCACTGGCAGGATTGATCGAGGAATTAGAGAGTAATTTATTGTTTAGATGAGGGGGGCTAAAGGGTATTTACACAGTTTGACAGATTTGATCAGTGGCAAACTCTACCACTAACTACGAGTGTTTTATTTTATTTTGGGGGGGTCAACGATCAAGAACAAATTGGTATAATGCAAACAACATATGGTGTGCTGCGAAGTGCATTAACCTTCTTTACAGTTGCCCTATCTTACCTAGTGAAACTGTTCCTCCTCCTCATTAGCTGAAACCTAAACTACATGTGTAATTGCACCTTTGTGCCCTTTATAATTAAAAGAACTGCAGGGGAAAGGCAGAAAAATGAGGTTGTAACCATACACCTACATTTGGCCCCATTCTTTCCAAACCCTAATTGTTTCAATAACTCACACTCCATTTCACAAGAGGGAAATAAACGAGATGTCCTCTAAACTGTCAGACGTCTAGAGCCTCCCTTTGATCTTTTTCATCCCCACTAGCCATTTTCTTTTCAGGTCGACTGAAATTAAACTAACTCCAATTTTGCGCATGAAAGGAGCAGGAAATTATACTGCTCAATTGCACATTATTATTTTTTTTGTTTCTTCGGATTGTTTCTGTAGGGGGTAGAGGGCATTCTTCCTTCCAGAGTTTCTTGTCTCATTTCTGTCGTCCTCCGTCTCGTAATTTGCCAAGTTATCACTTCATCAGCAAAATGTGCGACTCTGGCATGTTCAAAGGGAAGGCGTGTTATTTTTAAGTATGTGCAATCAGCAAAAACAGTACATAAAAATGATGTGCATGTGCACGTACTGTACATGTACATGTAGTGTGGGCAAGCGTTACACGTGCGTGTGCATTCCCACTGAAGACAGGAACGCAAAGGCTTCGTACTTGTCGTTTACTGGTGATCTTTTGTAAAAATGGTCTGCAAATGTCCTACAGGTCGTGTTTAAAGATACTGCACACCTGTGTACACAACCTTCATATTGCGTGTCTCACATCTAGTGTCATTTTCTTTTACCACGAAATCTATTATTAGCCAATAATGTGAGATATCTCTCCAGTACACAAACTACCAGACCTTCATCATTACATGTGCGATGAAAAATGTTCCTAAATTAAAAAAGAAAAACACATTTTGCAGAAACCACATTTAGAATTTATGTTCCTTCCAAAATGATACTTATGGGAGAGGGGGGAGGGAGTAGGGTGAACCATGCCTCGACTTTAAACTCTACAGATGACAAGATAGACGTGCTACAGCCCTTATTGCCAGCGTTATTAATTGGAGCAGCGCTGAGCACGGCAGTCATTTCTCCATCATTCCCCTGCCATCCACCCACACACCGCTAGCCTGACTGGGTGATATCCTTGGGATCTCATATTGTTTGTGCCAACCAATTCTTTCTTTTTTCACTGCGTCAAGCAGAATTTATGAAATAGTGATAGTGAGATGAGTGCCAGATTAAGACTGCCTGATAATAAAAAATGATTCTAAATAAAGGCGACAGAATAGAAATCCTAGGACTTCGCTAGTCGGTTAAAAAAGCACAAATTTAAAGTGCATGGGCAGATTCAAAACCACATTTGGGGGGGGGGTGCATTGGGGGGGTTTCCAAACAAATTTGGAAACTTCTGCATGCAACCTTTTGCCTTTATGAGGGATGAGGCTACCTTGGGGGTTTACCATGTCTTTGAATAAATTCAGTTGGAAGGGAAATGAAACAGATTCCCAAAATCATGTTTCGTTTTTCAAGAAAAAACAATCCGAGGGGGATCTTTTTTTGGTGGGAGGGGGCATACTCCCCACTGCCTCTCCTCCCAGATCTGCACTGAAAAACCATTCATGGTGGGAGGGTCGATTCTGAAGTACCAGTATATGGGTAATTCCGAAAATTTGTGGTCCAAAAGTGTGACATATTCATGTCCCTGTTACATCTGACTTTTGTTATTTGATATGGACATATCACCGGAATTGATTTCAATCTATTTCTAATTGTTTAATTGGCAGGCACTTTGCCCTACATGTAATTCATCACTCTCGGAAATTAGAAAATGTGTTCGGAACTAACAAAATTACATGTACACATGTACGTCAAATGTGACAGGGACACGAAAAAAGTGACCCATTTCTGGAATTACCCATATTCATCATTTCCCCTCTCCCCTTTTTATTATTATTTTTTTTTTTTTGGCTCTTGTTTTTTTTCCTCAATTTTTCTTGTCTAGGGGGGGGAGGGGAGACAAGCATTCTGTTCCCCCCCCCCCATCTCCAGGCAAATACAGGTGCATGTATGGTCTCTACAGTACATGTTACAGGACGACATGCATGTAACCCTGGGATGCTGGAAATCTAGGCTACACAGACCTACACATGTACCTCCACAACATTCATCATGCATGCTTACACTGGCATGTAACTCCTTAAAAGACATATACGTGTCAATACATTCTTGATTCATCGAACCCCTGGTGTGAAATGTATTGCCTTGAGTTCCCTGACCATTAACTCCCTCCCATCCTCCATCACATCAGGCCAAATCCCATTATTCTCGGCTTTAATTGCTATCGTTTCAAGTACAAAAACTGATTTCGGGAAGTTCAGAGCTGCATTTGATCTGCAGGGCATACAACCTGTCAACCCACTCAAATCACATCACATCAGCGAGGTCACAAACTCACAAGCCTCCGACAACAATGCCAACCTCGCAGCACTACATGGCTTGAAGTCGGACTCATCTTTTTTTTTTCAATAATCGGGTCGGCTGAATGTACGTAAATGTTCCCTTGTGGAAACTGAAGAGGAGAATTGGCGGCCATGACTCCTGGTGAGAAAGTTCTGCAAACATGACATGCTTGCTGACAAAAACATTGTTGACAATATTTTTTGAAAAAGAAAGAAGTAAAAACAGATAAGGAATGCCAGTACTTTGGCCACTGTGAACAAAGTAACAGGTACAGTGTACACACTGATACATTTACATGTACATGTACACAATGGCGATCTAATGTTTATGATACTGTATAATAAACAGTCAAGCAGTTTTTGAAAACCACCAGCAAATTTCTCCAGGTACACGTCTGTTTTACAATTTTGATGGACAGCTTTGCATCAGCACAGTGATTCACTATCACTCAGCACTGCCCCAAAGCATGGTGGGTAATCATCCCATGCAGAAAGGTGTTTAGGCAGTAAATGCCAGCAAAGCTGTTCATCAGAGTCTGGCTTGGTAAGACACTTCTGGTGTGGACCCGAGGCGTTAAGTATGTATCATAACAAGTGAGCCAGATCCATGAGCTAGTTTTCCTGTAAAATTCCATCCCGTTAAAGTTGGGTCGTGTTTGGAGAGATAACGGAACTTCAGAAAATACCAGGATGCCGAGTCTGCACCGTGACACAATCAAAATCCTGTCTGAGAATTTTGCATGTTAAAGTTACACATTAGAGAAAAGCGTGTTTCAAATACCAGCAGGTCAAGTGAACAAGTGAACACTGATTATGATATGGATCAGAGAAGAGCTTGTTTTTGTGAATGTCAGCGGATCACAAGCAACCAGAAATCATGTTCCACGGCAGAACACACAATTTGTGGAGAAAAACAAATGGTGTTTTACTGGAAAAAAAGCAGATCAGCAGGACATTCCACGCCTCTGCTAGACACAGAAATCAGTAGTCAGGGTTTCCAGCTGAAACTCCTCGGGGTAACTTAACTGAAGAACGCTTTGCCAGGAACTTTACTGCTATGTACCAAAATCTGACAAAGTAAATAATGGCACAACTTTACAAAATATTAGGCTACACGTCCCTATCGGTACATGTACACATCAGTGTTGTAGTCAAGACCAGACACAAGACCACCCACAAGACTAGACACGAGACCACGCACAAGCAACAGGGTGAACAATGACAAAGGAATACTCTTGTTGCAGTTCATTTGAATAGCCTGTGACTTGAATTCAGACTGGAGGTCTTGTGTTGGTCTTGCGGGACGGTCTTGCGAAGGTCTCAAGTGGTCTCGACTACAACACTGGTACATGTATATGTACAGTACTGGTATGTATAAGGCATTGGATTCTGTCGCCCCTTGTTCCTCAAAACCACGCAAGAAAAGCTGAATTTTTAGGATTTCAGAGACGGAAGCTCAATTTGTTTACTGACAGCTCTGGAATGATCACCTTCTATCAACTGGAAAAATTTGATATTCCTTGTGCAGATGTAAGTGCTTGTTGTACGTGTATCTCACCACAGAGAACAGGACATAAAGGGAACAGAGGAGATTTGCCTGTCCTCCGTGGTCAGTCCATAGCCTTCAGTGGTCAGCACCTGTGCTTAGTCTGTGGGAGAGTGTCACATTAGTGGAAAAATTCAAAACAAGATGCCCTTGTCTTACGTGGTAGGGTAAACTTGACCTTGTGAACAAAAGAGGTTCTGATGGTGCAGACCTTGGCTGTGGGCGTGCGGACTCTTCCCCCTTAGAAGGCTTACCTTCACTGAACTACCCAACACCATGACAAGACCAGGCAATCAGCAGCCGCAGGACGTATTCGATGGAGTCTGGCCGGGATCGGTCGGTGTGATGGTGGTGGCCGGCCGCATGCTCTGATCCGTATCGATGCTCTCCGACATCTTGTCGCAGATGATGTCAACCAGCCGCTCAAATGTCTGCTTGACGTTGATGTTCTCCTTGGCACTCGTCTCAAAAAATTCCAGCCCTACAGGAGAGATGAGAGAGAGAGAGAGAAAAAAGATACATCACACAAAGAAGAAAAAGATTGTGGAACTGCACGCTGTCTCGTGAGTGGAAATCTAGGATTTTTGAGATTAGTTTCCAGATAATGGACATGCTGTTCCAGTTTCCAGATGTCGCGCTGCAATCATAATTTGACTAGAATTTCTGGTTACTACCCATCCAGCGGCAAAAAAGTGAGACAAGAGTTATGTTTCCTGTCTGATAAAGGAAGAGGAAAAACATGAAATCTGAGGCACGGCTGTCGTTGAGGTGTATGCCAACTGCCTACTTGGGTCTGCTGTGGAGCAGGGACACAGATGTGCTGGGGGCCATTAATATCGCTGCTCAGTCAATTTCGTTGGATGACTGGGGTGTATAAATGCTACACCTGGGCAGTGCCACAATGCCACAATGGTACTCCTGCAGTGTCCATCACATCAAGCAAAACCACATCTAAGATTTTTAAAATCTCTCTTCGTTGAAATGTACTTTTGAAATCTATGCTGGTGGAATTTGTAATTGGCCATATTGAATTGAAAGTGAGGTAATTTTTTTTTATTTTGGCGCTTGAGAATAAAAAGGAAAGCACTAAAATAAAACTTTACTACAAATTAATGTCAATACATGTAAAATCACAAACATTTGTGATTAATCATATTTAAATATTAAAGCCAAATAAAAAAAAAAAGACAGTGAGGCATGGAAATAGTCTGGCACCACCCTATGTAATAGGTTACAGAAGAATAAGATAGATTCTTGGAACAATTTTTTTCTTTAAAATGGCTAGCTCATGAATAAGGTCTACTGATGCTTCAAGAGCAATCACTAACAAACATTACAATAACATATGATACGTTCACACACAAGAATGGAGCTCTCCTTCTTAGACACTTCATCTTTCTTAATACAACAAGCACAACAATAAGCACAGGCAATGTAATCTGATTGAGCACCAAGGGACCGGTACTCTTCTCCCTCTCTCCCCCCCCTTGATTCAGATATCACTGCTCGATGAGATCAGATAGGTCACGAGGAATCATAGGACAAGCAGAATAAATACACAATCCCCACAATATGAACTCATACCCATGGCAACCTGCGATTGGACCATTCCTATTCTGGCCTTGCCCCTCTGGGTGTCAATGCGTGGGAGGCCAGCTTGAAAGGCAGGTGATACGGCACAGTGGGATCAAATTAACACCTCTTGAACCCTTGGCGCGGGCATCTCATTTACTTCAACCCTCCAACTAGCACGATGCAAACAAAGGCCAAATTTTTTATACCTTTTGCCACTACAGCATTCTCTCGATGAATGCTATTCCCGGAAAGGGAAAAAAGGGGTACGGGTGAGTATGAGTGTTATTGCTCTGACTTTGAATGCTGTCCTGAGTTACATGTACATGTATCACAGAATTGAACCCAATGGATGTACCAGTACGTGTATGTCATGTCCACAGACTTTCAGATCCTTTCAATCCCTTTCTTCCAATGAAGATTTTTCCTCAATTCACTTAGCACAATGAAATTAATTTTATGATGAAATTTGGAAGTGACTACACACGTTCAAATGCAATTGGCTACGCACGTGCCCTACGCTTGTGTTTGGTCAGTGCTCTGAAATGCACTTGGTGTGGCAACCGTTTCAGTTAAAAGCAGTTACAGTTATCTCCTCTGATTATTTTGTACACTGTAATGTTGGAGGTCAGAAGCAAACATCCATGTATTTATCACTGGCCCAAATAACCGTCCGTTTCCTATCGACAGATAATGTAATAAAAAGACTGTGTTTGGTAAGGTCCATTATCACTGACATTCCTCTGAAATCTGCTTTAAGTGCTGTAATGCTACACTGGGCAAAAGACAGAGAGCAAACAGACAATCGTCCAGGGCCCCTGCGCCACCCTTCCTGCATTCCTGACTTATCGTGCTTATCAGCACTGATCCCAAATTTCATCTCTGAAATTGCTGGGCAACGTCACGCCCCAATTATTTATTTTTCCCCCGAGTGAAAATGGAGCTCTCTTTTTTCTCTAGACGGGTACATGGCCGATCATTTTGAAGGAATACAATGACAACAGGAAGAGTGATGATTTCAGATTGGTCGTCCATGGCAAATCTAATTGCGACACTGGCATACATAATTATCTTTAAACACTAAGAGGAAATTGCCCCCCCCCCGAGTTAATTAATTGATGATCCCTTACATGTACACGTATGTTCACACATGTAAAATTTAGTACTCTTCTACTTATTACTAGAAACCCTAGGGGTGAACAAAGCTGAAGTGTTTTTTATTATAAAATTATCACAACCAACCAGCGTGATTTGGTGTGATTAGTTATTGTGAATTACATGTACGTACATGTAAATCTAACCCGGACCAGGGCCGTTTTAAGATACTGGTTATGTGGTATAAACAGGACTTCCATAAATCAACTCAAAAGACTGGCTTTTAACAGTCATTTCAGAAATTTGGCAGAAAAATTATCAAAATCACAAGTACATTGTACATGTGTGCCCCAAATGCTTACTTTATTCAAATTTAATACAGTGAAGAAAAAAGTGCCAACCGACCGCGCACTTCTGAAAACTGCATCTGTATTTAGTTACGTGAGAAAAATCCAGCAGCAATCCAATTACTACCACCAACCTGCAAGGACTGGATTTGTGGGTCTAACGCACCCTTGATAATCAGGCCATATCCATGATTGAATTCATGAGATTTACAGACCGCTCTCTAAAGTGATGGTTCACATTGGTGGGGAGCTAAAACCTGAATGGCCTCACGCACTGCATCACGGCAGGAGGGATTAGAATTTAAGAAGCCATCCAATTACAGCAATATTCAGCTTTTAGGCAGAAGACTGCAGGGTTTTTCGACGTATCTTTTCCACCAACATGGTACACAAATTCAAAAAAACTGTTGCATACAAATCTTGCAATATGCACTTCTTCTGTACACACGTATGGCGCGCTGCCCAGTGGCCTTGTGATACATGTACATGTAAAACAATGGTCTACTGAAACTTGCAAGGAACTACCAGTACAGCTGGAGGGCTTTCAAGGAAAATGATTCAACGCAAGGCTTGGGCAGCATGAGGCTTAAATTAAAACAGGTACAGTATAATATTTCTGCCAGGCTACTCCAAAGGTTTTCTTTTCAGACTTTTCACACATGACATATAGAAATTCAGAACTCATTGGATAGGTACGTGTGCTTTGTCTTGTTTGATTTTTTTATAAATTACCGAACTGTTTGAGCCCAAAAGTTAATTCCAAAATCATATGAAATATACATGAGAAATATGAATTACATGTCATACACATACTGGTATGTACTTACAGGTATACAAAACAGAACCAAAAGTGCTCAAGTTTATGAAATAATGTACATGTACATAATTTGGAGCCTTTGAGCGCCCAAATCCAATTGCCACGTACAAACGATATGACAAATTTAAGCCATCCCATTTCAGCATCTACAGACTTTATACCACGGCAAACTGGTTGTTCATTTTCAATTGCGAACCTAATAGTTTATGTACACTGTTAGATCAAGGACATTTTCTATACTGAGTCTGGATTTTTTGATGTGTGGAAGGTACCAGGTAGCTGAAGGAGTGATTCAATGCATACACAGATAGAGGGCCTCAAGCAATTAACTAAGGCTTCTAAACATTGTTGATGTGTGACATTATTTTAGGTTATTGGCGATGCCGTGTAATTAATCAACTTTTGTCTGACGGTCTCAGATAGGTGGGGTATACTATCCCCCTCCCCCAAAAAAGTCATACAAAAAACCCTGCAAAATGCACTGCTTTTTCAAAAAGTACAGAATTACCACATTGCTTTAAACTGTAAAAGAAATGTATGTAGAGAAAAATTAGTGTATCTACATAGAATGTGATAAGTGACAACAGATGGAGAAATGGTTGCAAACAAAACAGACTATTCAGCTACATGTAGGGATACATGTACATGCACATGCACATGTAGGCATACATGTACATATTTTGCCCTGAGGATACTCCATATTACAAGTCAGAAAAATGTATGCTCCTGACCAAAGGCAAATAAAGGCATAATAAATTAATGGCTTGGAAAAGGCTGGGTCTCTGAGGTTTTTAAGAACAATACCACACTGCTTGCCTAGATAAGGTCAAGCTATAAATAAATGTAATTATGAGTAAAGGAAGAGGGCTGCTGGCTGTACAAATTATGATAGCTATGCCCACGCAGAAACAACAGACAGACAGACTTGGGCAATGGCTGAAAACCTAACAATGGGAAAGTTTTCCCAAGGAAGGGGTTTGGATCTGGAGGCAGGCCATGTTATGAAGAAAATCTCTGCACCTGTTTTTCTGTAAAGGTCAAAATGTTTTTCGTACGGTATGCCGTGTGCACTGTAAATTGGCTTGTGTTTGAAAGCCAACCAAAAAGCCATCCCAATCAGAGAAACTACATGTACATGTACGTACATTATGCATGTCAAATGTTTTAATCATAGCGACCTTGAACGTCCCAAGTTTATGGGCTTCTAGAAGATACCAAGACCAACCCACATACCGGTACGAGTAGCATGTTTGAAGTTGAAAGATTAATAACCAGTTTGAAGTTAATATTTCATGACGTTCTTGAGTTACAGTAGGGAAAATTGATGGATGGATGGAAAGAACAAGGCAGACAAATTCTGTCACTTCACCTTCACTGGAAAAGCATAAAAACAGACACTGTGATGTCGTTAAATTTATTCTAATCATGCTACATGCGTACATGTACGGTACATGCAGCAATATCCAACAATGTAAGAATTCTATTGAAATCTGACACAGAACAAAAGATGTCCAACATTTATTAAGCCATTTGTTTGTGTTCGACCAGGATTTACGTTGAGTATAATTTGTTTTCATTGCCCTTTTCCCCTAAAGGACCCTAGAGGAAGCACCCCCGTACAATGCACCCCTACCCGTACAATAAGTACACGTACATGTATCATGTACAGTGTACCAGTGCATGTGAAGCAATTGACAGAAACACCGTTGTGTACGTGCACTTCCAGTTTACCTTGTGGTGACTGCCTCAGGAACATGTACAGTTTCTCACAAAATGCCACACGGCTTAAGTGGCGTAAGTGCATGCATAAACATGTTACATGTATACAGTACATGTACTTACATGACACAACGCTTACGGGCAAATAATTGCCTAGCAACTGGGAGCTTCCACTTGAAATGTGACATTTCTGACAGGAATTTTTTTCAGGCAGGAATTCTCTACTTTCATAACGGACAACTAAAGCTAGGGGCTTTGATGGGTTCGAACCTCCTAACTGAAATCAGTTTGGAGGCATGTTTTGGCTTGTCTTTTGCTGGACAGGACCCCTGACCAAGCATCTGAAATGCTATCACGTCAAAAGCCTTTGTTACTATCAATATTTCAGCCTCGTCAAAATGTTGAGTGTCTCCCTTTCACTGCGCAGCCGCATATTGACACAAGTTCCACAGGGTCTCTAGTCAAACCCCCAGGTCGTGAGGCAGACTCCGCCCCTGTGCACTGGAGAGGATGATGGACTGGATAAACGAATGCCTCACAGATTTACTTATCTTAGAAATTGAGAGTAGCAGTCTTTCATGGTTAATGTGAATGACCCCTCCCCCCCAAAAAAGGACAAACCTGAATGGTTATCTGATTCTTTCTTCCTTATTGCAATTATCACGTGTACGCACAAACTATCTGTTTGTCTTGGGCTGCCTTAAGGCAACAAATGTATTTAAATGGATATTAAAAGTTTCGCTTTGTTTGGCTTCATATTCTAGAAATTTTCTCAGCCCAAAGGTTGGATAATTCATCCCATGACGTCCCCCAAGTGTACCATACACATTTGCAGGTACCAGGCTTTCTGACACCACTCATGAAAATACATGTATCCATTGTGATTCATATCTACAACAAGACTGCAAGATAAAAGGTTGGAATGACAGTTACAGAAAAAAAGTCTGATGTCTTATGCAGGTACATGTACACGTGTACACTAATGAATGGGCACTGCAGAAAATCATAAACTTGTACGTGTGCATTGTGCTTGTGAAGTGTTGTACATGTATGTAAAAGTACCATTGTCCATGATACATGATACACGTACATGTAGGTACTGGTATTAGTTACAAAGAGCTCACTGGTTTTACCATGGTAGACTGGAAAACGGTATTAAAGCCAGGGACCTATAATACAAAAACAGATGTTATGTATTTGAACTGTGTGGATTCTACAGGCAATAATTTGAGTGCAGTGAAGCAGTAAGAGGGGAATGATATGCACATCTCACTCATAAACCTAAAAGGGCAGTGCAATTTCCACAATGTTGCTGGTCTTGCGTCAAACTAATACATGTACATGTACATAGTTAAGAAAAGTGAAACAGGATCATCTTTACAATACAGACACAATATGCCAAGAAAATGTAAAATTATTTTAAAAAGGGAGTTTAAAAAGTGGTCCAATCTGCAAATGGAAGATGAGCCTGACACACTAACCATGACTGATCACTCTAATTTTGTCAAATGTAGATTTCATACTTGCGACATCAGGACTGGAAGACTCTCAGATTTTTGGAATCTTTTTGTTTCACGGGACCAGCGATGGAAGGGACTCCAAGATTCCCGAGAAAAAAGAAACCTCCACACAATCAACTGCATGTACACGTAAACTGCAAAAAGCTGCTTGTGTATGAAATCCTTATAAGGTAAACTAATGGAACTGCAGCAGATATGAAGCATTTGCAAATCTCTGTGTAAAAGATGGGGGATGGGTGTATTTGAGATTTCAATTTACCATCATAAAATTTGCTCAGGCTCGCCTCGATAATCAAGTAAACACAAGAAACATTAACTACAACACTGGAGGCCTGGCACATTTTGTGCAAAATCATTAACAGAGATGTTGTCTGTATGCAGATACTTGTGCATGAAGTGTGTGGGTGGTACTGATGAAACCCTCATCAGTGGTTCCATCAAACCCTTTGTCAGCCCGGGCAGCCTATCCAGTATATCTAATTATCAGTATTTTCCTAATCAGCCACACACTGTACATGACAAATAACAGGAGGAAGCTACTTCCATGTCAGCAGCAAGGAAAGAAACAACGAGCAGGAGAAGCCTTTGTGGGAGGGAAGAGGTTGCAAAACAGCTAAATGAAATAAAAAGAAAGCAAATCCGATCAAAGCAATCAGAGAATGGAAAAAATGACACAGGCAAAAGCCCAGGGGGATAGATAACATACACGTGCATGTATGTATGCAGGAGGACATGGGGGATGGGATGAGCAACCGTACGTAATAGCCTTACCGAGTTGGTCTGCCAATGACTTCCCTTTCTCCGTCGCGATGACTCTCTCGTCTTCCATGTCGCATTTGTTGCCGACGAGGATAACTTGCGCATTGTCCCATGAGTACGTCTTGATTTGTGTGCACCTGCGGATAAATAAAAATGACAGATCAAAATCCCGAATTTCAACTTGAGAGCGGCTGATGAATTTATCCACTTGAGATTTTCCAGGAATCAAAATCTGGAATTTTAATTTGAGAGTGGCTGATGGAATCTTATCCACTTGAGATTGTTCAAGAATACGCTCCAGAATTTCAACTTGACTATGTCTGATGAACTTTTCTACAAGTTTGAGATGTTGCAAGAAATGTTGAAGGTGCATACAAGCACCGTGTTTAGACTGCCAGGATAATTTTTTTCAGACAGCGTTGATTTTTAACACAGCAAAGGCTCAGATTTGGGAAAAACATGCAAATATTGAGTTGTTCATTTCAGTGCAGGCTTCAATGGAAATGTAACTGGTGGGCATGGTTCAACGTCTGTGGGTGGAGAGCAAGTTTTAATTGGCCCGACTTACCAATCTTGAACGCTGTTAAACGATTCTTCATTTGTGACGTCGTACATTAAAATGAAACCCATGGCACCTCTGTAGTAAGCTGTTGTGATGGTTCTGTACCTCTCCTGCCCTGCTGTGTCCTACAACAAAGCAAGCCAAACCAAGGAATGATTTATTAGAAAACTTCATTATCGCTAAAAGAAAAAAATGAGGCTTTTTCCTTTCCAAATTTTGCCACAGTAGTCCTTTGGGTGACACACCACATACATGTATGCTTGCTCATGTTGGCATGTTCTTCTCTACATATAGAACTTTGCCTGAAATTAACACGGCACCGTGGTTTCTGCTGTTCCTGAAATGTACATGTAATACTCTCCCACTTATCATAGAATGAATATGGCACGGATATCGATGACGCACTGCATGAAAATGCTGCAGCTGAAATTGTCTTTACATGCAACAACAGAGTTGACATACATGTAACTCACTCCAGTTTAGATACATAGACCAGTACATATTGATTCAACATACATGCATATGCATGTACATGTATATGTTCATAATTTAAGCATTATTCAAAGGTTTACGAGGCTCAAGATGGGAATATGATTGATGGTGGTTAAAAAACAGGCCAATTCCATAGGCTTCATACTTCAAAATCTGGACTTTACTGGCAGGCACTGCATGATGTTGAGAGATATCGGTAATGAAATTGGCTTTACAGTACTACTCCCCAGAATAAACGAAACATCACAAAGAAATTCACGATACATTTTGAAATGACAATTTGTAAAGTACACTCAAAATGAAATTACATGTACATGTAAAATGCTCCTGACAATATCTTTTGCATATACATGTATATTCGATGCAAACACTACCTATATGGTGTAAGGTTGGGGGACTCAAGTGAAAGGAAGAAATGACACCACTGACGAGGAAAAACAGATCATTATTAATTAACCATACGCGCTGGCCTTTCCTGTGTTCTCACTGAACTGTGAAGTAATTGTATCCTCCTCCTATCAAGGATAACGATCTCTGTTACCCATGAGGTGGATATGGATCGACTAAAGGTATCTCTGAACAACAGTATTAGCAAAATCCAACTTAAATGTAATGGTTATTGTTAACATTATCTATTCTGTTTGTTCATAACTGACGCTACCATAACTGCACGCACTTGTGTATCGGTACATGTACATGTACGTGTAAATGTATTTGCATACATACAATGAAACTTAAGTATTAAATTTCTGAGTTTACTCTCCAATTAAAAATGAAGCAACTTCATGTACATGAATTTCTGAAGCCAACAAACTAAACCCTAATTTGCTAACAATTCCTCATTGGGTCCTAATAATAATGGGTCCCACATTTACTTTATCGGCAGAGATCTGCATTGCTAATTAGGAACAAAGGCCAATGCACAATTTACATGTATTGTGCAAACAATATTGGTCTCCAATATTCCAGTGTAGCTGTTTGTGTTCCATCATTAACTGACATTCAATTACTACATCAATTTAATCAATCCAACAAGTATCAGTATTACTGGTAGCTTACATGTTCATGTGCACATGTGTGTAGTGCGCATGTTCACGGTAGCAAAAAAAATGCATTCCTTCAGACACGTCATGTACCAGTACATGTCTATCATCATTAACTTCAGTAATGACCACAGTTTCATGTTGATTTACTTGTATATTACATTAGTAGCCGAGTTCCATTTGACAAACAAATTCAAGCATGTAAGGAATGCTAACACACATGGCATGTTCACAGGAAGAACCAAATGCCGCAACACTCTCTGTGGGTTAATTCTTCATTATGTTCGCTCGCTTGTTTGCAGTTGTCGGTTTCAATGCTTGGGTTTACATCTCACGCTCCTTAATGCCCATCCTGTCACTCTCCAAGCATCGCCTACAGCTCTTCCTTGCCAGGTGGGTAAATGAAACGGGGGGAGAACTAGTGAACATCAGTGTTTACAGTCATTACTGCACGCAGGTATTGCCATCTTCCAAGAAGAAACAAAGTAATGTTACCCCCCCAAAAGAAACCCTCAAAATTTGCAAGATACACACCCACATGTAGAAGTACTAGTAACAAAGGTTTGCAGTGCATTTCATTTCATGCTGATACATGGAAGAACACTAATTTCTTAATTTAGGCTTGCGTGCTATTTGTTCGTGGATCACAAAGTGTCAAACAAAGGCACAAATGTTAATGCAGGTATCGGTAGAATGTTCTGACTTCGGACATGACCAAAGGCACAGTACGGTTAAGATACCGGTACACTGCAATGCACACGTACCACTACTCATATGCCGGGTACCGGTACATAGAATAACGTGTCAAAAACGTTATCGCAAATTTTAAACAATAAAATTTTTTAAGGAAATGATGACTTGTCTGCTTTGGTAGACTGAGGTTTATTTTAAGGTTCTGGAGAAACAACGTTGCTTTAATATGCATTTCGTGTCGCCACCGGAAGGTTCTTATGGGATGACGTTCGATCAACCATGCCATTTATCATCAACCTTGATGACCAGATTTTATTGACAAAGCAAGCGTGGGCTAAGTGGACGCCAAGTAAAAACAACACTCTGCCAGAGATGCGACCACAAGTCTCTTCGCATGAGTCACAGTTTGTAAGTTGGTCTACACGAGTGTGCCTATGAATGTACTGTACATATGCAACATTCATGAAAAATCTACTACATGAGCATGCTGCCTGAATGATGCTATTAGTGAATTTATTGTTAGTTTGAAATTATTCTTGGGCATAGAGTACATGTAGGTCATACAAATGAACACAGTGGATGAACCCATGGATTATATCATCAAGAACTCCCTTTCTGGTGACAAAAGAGATACAACACAAAACCTGAATATAATTACTGCCAAGCACTTGGCACCTACATGTACAATGTACATGTACATGTACATAAATGCACATGTGAACATGCATACACAAGCCAACAGATTTGTGCAGATTCAAATGAAAAGTTACTACGCATGCATGCTGATTGGATTGAAAATTTAATGTGTGACATTTTGCACCATACATGTACATGTAATAAGGCCTGTGTCCTTTCTCTTTGGTCTAACCAACTGCGATGGATGTGCTGCTTTGTAATGCAAACAGAAGGCCTTCAATACAGCTACATGTGTACATGTGCCGTTATTAACCCAAATCAAATTGATGCATGATGCATATACTTTATATGCCTCAATTAAATTTGCCAAACAGATGACTCAATACCGACTCACTGTGGTTACCTTCAATAAATTTCCATTATATTGCTTCACAACTACCGGTACATTAGTACTACTAACGTGTATAATCCTTCAGTTTCATATCAATCACCAGCATAATGCAGGTAATTCTTAAAATCAATTTAAAGTCAATTTTCAAATACGATCTACAAAGGAAAATAAACTGGAGTATCCGCCCACAATTAGTCAATTCTGTAATTACAGAGGTATTTTCCATTGCTACTCGGGTTTCCCAATTTGTGCACCATATCAAAAAAAAGGAGGGTTCCTATGTAAATTTACTCAGCTAAGCTCCATAAACGCGAGCACTGATGCCACTTTACATGTGACCTCAAATCCCTTTCATCTGGCTCCACTGAGCAAGCCGCACGCACAGGAGCAGAGTCGTGTCGTGTTTGATTAAGCCATGCCCACTATTCCACAGGGTTGGCTTGACATTTTCCGTGAATATACACGTCAGCGCGGTGTGATAGACTGCCATTGTATTATTAATCTTCTTTGGGTCCAGTAATACCATATGTACATGTGGCCATTTTAAAACTACATGTTCAAATTGTCTTTATATCTCAGGGGTCTGCAAATGAAGTATTTTTTGAAAATATTTTGTTTTCTTTCCTAATGTTGCTCTACACTGAAATAACCTTCAAATGTACCGGTCCGTGTGACGCAAGTTTCCATCTAAACATTCACTGAAAGGGAATGTTATCTTTCATTAATTTTATTATAAACTCCCAGTGAGTTGAAAGAACTGTTCTTTATGAATACGTACATGTATTAAAAATATTCAGTTTTTAAAAAGACAAAATTAATTAATCGCTTGGCCCATTTGATTACAGAACACAGCGAGAGAAAACCTCCAAGCTTTTCAGACTATCCTTAGCCTCAGGGAGGTCAACACACGGAGATGTGCATCTTACCGCAGATGATACAAGATACCCAGCAATGGATATATCACGATATGAGATGACGACGTGAATGCACATATATAATGAGAGGTGGTTCAAGTGGAATGAATCATCATTCTCACGCTAACATCCAAACTTAGGAATTGATAATGAGGTTTTCTGTGCATAATGTATGCCTTGAACACAGGCTTTTGTGACTCCTGTAGTGTACAAATGTACATGTACATTGTATAATTGATGCGCATATTCACTGTAAAAAGAGTATGAAAGAAAGCATTCAAAATGTTACGAATCCTGTATCAACAAAAATGTCTAGGAATGTCCGTGGGAAGAGCTGATTTTTGACTCGGCTCTGCCTTCCTAAATTCTACAAAATCCTTTTATTTCATTTTAATTATTTTAAACTTTTAAAAGTGTCAATACTAGGTTAACAAGCTGGTAAACACACATACAGTATCACATTTTCTACAGTAAATCAGAGTTTACAACTGATGAAAGTGTGGCAGTCCTACACTGGCCCAGTGACCTGCATGGAAAGCAGTCACATTATCAAAATGTTAGTTTTACTTTATAGCGGTTGTCCATGTGGAACTTTTCAGCAATGTAAAACAGAGAAGAAAATTCTTAAACAACCAAGCTTTGTGGCTGCCTACTTAGTTTTTGGACTTAGTTTTGTCAGCAGTCTCCAAAGTTTTACAAAACAAAACAAAAAAGTCCAATGCAAACACAGCCAATGGCATTGTTTTCCTTGCCACTTTCTTCAGTGTGGTAATCCAGGCACACAAAAGCCAAACATTTGAGGGGGTAATGTCTTTCCACATGACACTTCATTCACACCTCATGAAATCAGATTACATTCCTCAGTGTGCTGGGGTAAATATTTAACTAGCCACCTATCCAGGAGATGCTTGCTGAAGCCATTTGACAGTAATTACATGTACATTAACATCCAGAGGGCTACACTGATCAGAATCCAAATGCTAGAGAAAAGAGGGACTGAATCCAAGGAAAGGACTCGAATGGGTCCTTCCCTGACTAGTAAACTGTTCTTATCTTTTGACTGGAAGTTTTCCATTACAGGTAATGTACCGGGGTAAAAGCCTTGGAACACCTTGACAAATGTTGAAATATGGCTCATTTTAATATCTCAAAAGCTACATGTAATGTAATTTGTTCTGTAAGGGTGGAAGGATCACCAAAGGTCTAAGCCCATTAAACAGCAGAATGGAGTCAACCACCACTGCCCACCACTGCCGCAACCACAAAGTGACAAACAGAAACAAAACAAGCACCAAGTCTCACCCATATTTGAAGTTTGACTCTCTTATCTGATCTGAAGACTGTCTTGACTTTGAAATCAATGCCCACCGTACTGACAAACGCCGACGTGAAGGAATCGTCTGCGTACCGGAAGAGAAACGAAGTCTTGCCTACGCTGCTGTTGCCGATGATCAGCAATTTGAACATGTAGTCAAAGTTCTGGTCAGCAGCATCTTTTTGCCATGATCTGTTGTCAACTCCAGCGGACGCCATCTACATGGCCAAGGAAAAAAAATAAAAGACATTACTCTTGTTCTTTACATCACATCCAGCTTTTATAAAAATTGGTTAAAAAAACAGTAAATGAGCTTACAGAAATTCTACAGTGTCCAACCCTTACTGTACCCCTTGCAAATTAACAAATGTACGGTACCGGGTACACGTACACGAGCATGGTAAAATCCGAAAGAAAAGTTACATGCGCATGTATGTATACAATGCTATACAATGTGCTGCTCTATCATAGATAAATCGACTGAAATTCTGATATTGCTGTTCAACTTAAACTTCCATACTGTACTTTAATCCTTTTATTCAAGGCCAAATGCTTAAAGCTGGGTGTTAATGCCACACAATCTACTGGTACTCGGTAACAGTGTGAACACAGACAAGTTCTGTCAATGTTGAATAGATCTGCAGGGACAAGTCTTTCCAATATGGCCATCACTGAGGCTGACAATCCAAGCGTTTGAATTTATGCATTATTATCTAATGCACTCATTTGCAAGCAGTCTGTAAAATGTAATTTCTGGAAAGGACTGATTTCAGAAAGAGGAGTGGCCATACAGTCACTGAAATGTGTGACAAAAAAAAACGACACAAACTGGACCATGCCCTTGGAAATACGCGTACATGTATTTTTAAACATTTAATATGTTTCCTTTCATGAAAAGCAAAATGGGGGGGGAGTTCTCATGACTAAATTCTATCTAGTCCATTGTTAGTGTTTCTCCTCTCCCAGTCATGATTCAAATTTGAACATGAACAGAATGAGCCACTGGCCATGCTGGCGGCAGAAGTGGCGGGCCAGTGCATGACCCCCCTATACTTTTGGCAGCTTGGTCCTGGTGGTCTCAAAACCATTCCCCTCCCCCTTTGAAAATTATTCCACCTCCACTTTCAGCTAACCTTGGGCAATAGACCGTAAGCTGTGAATGGGCTGACAGTCAAGGTAAGATCCCTATTAATAGATGACGGAACAAAAGCCGTATCTGAATAGCTACTGACTTTAAAGAATCATACATGATTAAGCTGACAGAAAAAAGTAACACCCTTAAAAGCACCTGCTCAGCATAAAAGCTCAGAAAGTGTATACATGCAAATCTCCTGTTAACCTTAACATTTGCAGAATTTAATAACATTCACCACAAAAAAAATCTCAAATGCAGTTTATTAAAAGCAAGAAAATTTCTGGGGGGGGCCATTTGTTTTGTTACCCTTTTTTCTCTATTGTTAAAGTCTGTGGATTCTTGAGGGCTAACTAAGAGACTTTTCATTCCACATTATGCACATTGGGAAACATCCACTAGAAACCTTCCCTAATTCCCCAAATTGTCCAATTAACAGGAAGCCACGGCAAATTCCTTCAATTTCAACTTCCAACAGGAATTAAGCCTAAAATAAATTACATGTAGGAGCAGTGGCTGGTCTCTATCACCTTCAAAATCCTCCCAATTTATCCAAAAACCTCATTTCGTTCTGAAGGAAAATGGATCTGAGAAGGGTTCAGTGTTGAAATGCCTGAAGCAGTAGTCATTAAGACACATCGTGGGCACAGTCCCCTCAAACCGCTGCAGGAGGTTCTCTGTCTCTTCCAAGACAGACATTTGAAACATCTCTCCCAACGAGCAGATTGATGGCGGACATGGTGATACATTGCTTCACGCATCCATTACTGGGTTCAGCTATTAGTAATTCCTGATAACCACAGTCAATTGCCTGATATCATACCAGGATAATCATCAAGGTAATGGATCCATGCTTCACATCTACAAAGGCGAGACGACTTTGATATATTTGCAAGTTGCTAAGCAACCACAGAAGGTTGACATAAGTGGACGTTCTCGAGACGCCAGCGGGCTTAGTATTTTCCATTAGCTTGTTTTATGTGGAAGCATTCCAGTTGGTATTTTAACACCATACAATTAAGAGCACAGTGACAACTCAGTACTTACTGAAGTAAGCCTACGATTTGGATACTGACTGGTACAAAATTTTAATGAATTGAAACATATGGAAACTGCCATTCAAGGAGAGAATTTTAAGTCATGATCAAGGTATGCACTGGTAGCGAGGGGGGGGGAGATGTAATTGTACACCCCTCCCATAAAAAATTCATCACTCCCCACTGAAAATAAAGAAAAACAAAGAAAATAGTATTAAGAAAACACTTTGAATTACACCCGCAGTAACATCCAGCTCCTCTACTTGCCCCCTTACAGTAAGAAACCCTAGCTTCACTGTCAACTCTACTCTCTAATCTGGTTTAATTCACATGCTCTACTGATAACAAGCACCCACTGGCCTACTGTACACGCATACTTCCATCTCTGTCAGTTCTGTTGCTATTGTGAAGCAAGGCGGACACAATAGGAGGGTATGGGCAGAGGGAGCAAGCCCCAAAGAAATGAATGTAGGATGTCTCCATGGATTTAGTGTAAGCACATGATGCTGTATTACCTTGATGGCTGCCTGCCCCCAAGGGTGAAAGGTCATCAAGCAACTACATCCCCCAACCTACCCCTTCCTCCCCGTCCCACCCTATGAAAAGGACACTCATGAATCTGCTCCAGAGTAATTCAGGAATGTTGATTTTACCAGTTTTAATGCATGCAGATGCAATCCATGCCCAAGTTCACCCACTTCAAAATACATGTACATGTGTAGGTCATCAACCTCAACCCCAGCAGTGATAACCATAAATCCTCCCAAAAAAGTCTCGTTTCTGGTCAATGTGCACATCACTGTATGGCCTGGGCGTCGGCAAATCAAAGTTTTTTTATTTGGTACAATACGATGTCCAAAAGCTGCCAAACTTGCTTGATCAACTGGAATTCTGCAACTGTGTAATTCATAATGTGTTTTAGATAGGGTATGGTTGAGTAATATGTAAAAGGAGACCATCTAGGCCCCCATACCGGTACATTTAGTCAGGCACACTTTTTCAGATGATGTCATTTCTGTATTATACATTTACATCTGGGAACCAGACAAATGAGGTGGTCTCAAGTCCTGTGTACATCGAGAAGCAGAAATCACTTTTAAACTGTAAATAGTGAGGGGGCCAGTCTATTTCAGTAGCAAGGCCATGTGTTCTAAAGCAAATGTATGTACATCATTTCTGGGAAAAAAACAGTGTGGGCCAAAAAAAAAAAAATGCATGACTGTACAACTTTTACAACCAGTTCCTGACCAGAAACCAGATGGAGATAGATGGAGGATTCAGTACTGTTTGTGTTAATGATGCCCCAACAGAGAAAATGAAAGATCTGTTAAAACAATCTCAGTTGAAACTCGAAATCTTTAGAACATTTCACAATTATTTAGAGTACTACTTTGAAGAACTTTCAAGCTGCACATGCATGAACATTGAACAATAATTTCTTCTACTCTCCCTTATGGACACGTTGGCCAATTCACAGAGCACACTCATCCCTACACGTGTACTTGATACATGTAGCTTTATTAATCTTATACAAATGGGTAAATTAAATGGGGAATGAGGAATTTAAATGGGGAATGCGGAATTAAAAACAAATTCAGCCAAGTACAGATCTAATCAAGCAATTATAATTAGAAGCCATTAGTGAGTGGGCACAAGGCTAACACATACATGTACACAGATGTGCAACAAACATTTGGTCCAACTCCAACCATTCTAACATTAACGCATTCAAAACTACACGTATAGACATACAGTACATGTAAGTTGGGCAACAATGGACGTTTCTATTGTCCTCTTTATTCAAAATGTAACTTTTTTGGAAGGCCTCTAATATGTTTTGTACACGTTTGGCAATCCTGCACATGTCGGGAATCGTAGACGGTCATTAATTCTTTTGTTTAAAGTCCACAATTGTTTGGGAACATCAGTGCATGTATACACACATGTACACACAGGAGTCTCCATTGTAAGACAGCATATGGCCTGTATGCAATTGAGGTGATACAGGTCTTGAAATTTCAATTTGTTTCTAAATTACTGCTTTGTCTACATACTGTCTATGTAACATGATCTTCATGTACCTACAGTATATATAAAAACAGATAAAATTTTGGTATTTTTATCAATCAATTTTATATAAACTTTTTATTTGATGTGGATACTGATATTTTTACTGTTTTCTGTTTTTTATAGTTCCTTGTAATCTTTATTGTTTTAACGTAATAATTGTAAATCAAACTGAAATTCAGCCTTTGGCTGAGTGAGTTTGGTTAATAAACCATAATATAATGATATATGGCATGGATGATAAACATTTGTAAATATACATGTAGGCAGTCAGGAAAGCTGGTATCATGCTACCCATGGCTATTTTATGATTTGACAGTTCCATCTGGTCTAGTATTGTCTGTCAATAGGAAAACCTGGCTTTCCATATACGGTTTGGTATGATGAACACCAACAGAAGGCAAGTTGTTAAGACGTAGACAGTCATAGAGGAGACAGTGTGTGATGCCATTCTATCAAAATGTTTTAAACAAAACTGCATCCAGAACTCGGAAAATTTTCACCAGAAAAGCCTTTTTAGGTGGTGATATGACCTTGATAGTTAGACCAATACTCCAGTTTGATGTACACATATTTTGTTAACGGTTTTCTATTTTGTTGAAAATGGGGGTGTCTTTTTTTTGTAACAAGAAGAAATTGTCAAAGTGCATGGTAGTAATCAAGAAAGACATCATTGTACGCCCGTCATGCCAGCGTATGTTTGTATAGGCCTACTCTGGCAACTCAAGTCAAGACAGACAGTCAGTAAAAGTTGAACCAAGTCAAACTCTGCCCCATATCGCTGTCCCTGTTTGTATCAGTTGGGAAAGTCCTCAACAAGACATCATCACAAGGGACCCTCTAGCAACGCTGTCAACAATTGTAACAATTATATGGAAACCAGGCTCAATGCGCATGTTTATAATTTACAATAATATACAGCAAAGAAGGATCAAAAAGCAAACTTAAAATTATCTCCAACTTCATTCAAGATTTAAGAAAGTGTGATGAGATTTGTCAGCACACATCAAATAAACATAGAACATTTACAAATTTGGACAATGCAAAGACAGAACAAGCTACCAATTGTTAGAAATCCTGGAAATACCTAGAAGTTGATCTCATTCAACTAAGAAATTAATAAAAAGCAAACTTAAAATTATCTCCAACTTCATTCAAGATTTAAGAAAGTGTGATGAGATTTGTCAGCACACATCAAATAAACAAAGAACATTTACAAATTTGGACAATGCAAAGACAGAACAAGCTACCAATTGTTAGAAAACCTGGAAAAAACCTAGATGTTGATCTCATTCAACTAAGAAATTAATAAGTCTGTTCTCAGCTGAAAAAATAACACAGACTTGAATTTGATACTGGATAGTGCACTGAAGAAATTAATTGTCCACCTCTCACATAACACACGTAGCAAGTATAATTAGATATTGGCATGGTGGAGAGTCATTTGCATATTCTTAATTAACATACTGGATAAGCCGGACACTTGTTATTGACTACCTTGGTGTAATCGATCATAAGGAATGTCACTGCTAACGGACACTTACAATGCACACTGGCTATTCCCACCTGCAATTATGTAGAGGATACATGTAAAGTGCACTTTAAATTATAACACAATTGCAAGAAGAAGCCCATTCGAAACTATGGCAATAGCAATTAAAATTACATTATTAATTCAAAAGTTGGCTGACTCAACTACTGTATCATACAAAATTCAGATTTAATTGTGCCTTTCATGTTATTTCATTGTAGACTAGTGTTGATCATTAAATTAAAATGATTCCTGGGAGCAATTATGAAAAATAAAATTCAAAAGTGGAGTCAAATGAGACAAATAGTTCATCTTCAAGAAAGCAGGTTTGTCTACAGTATTTCTGGCTAGGCCTACGTGATGTACCAGTTGGCCTAATGAACACTGAACATCGTATTCAGATGAGATGTAACTTGTAAGCCATATTACCAGTATCACTGGCATTTTCTGTTGTGTTACCCTAGTTCTTTTTTTTCTTCTTTGTTTTTTTTTAGAAAATCAACTGAACAAGAGAGGGAAGATTAACTACATGTCTTCATGGTCTTGTGTGTACACAGACGAATGCATGATAATCCGGAACGAATTGCTCACAGCTGTAGGCCGAAGTGTACACCTCTCACAGCAGGTGTACATTCAGACCTGTATGTGTCGAGTACATGTGTACGGACTGCATTGTTTTGATCGTTCTGGATGTCTGTCGTAACGTCAGTCCCGCCCACCTTGCGCACCTGAACAACAGTGCAACGTCAGATGCCATGTTTTACAACCTCGGCCGAAACACAGAGCTGCAGAATCAGCATCAACAATGCCAAACGACAGGCGCTTAACAGCCCCAAAGCCCTCCAAATGTCACAAAGCTTACCTGTAACCCACCGTCGTGTCGCATAATCCGGATCACCGTCAAGGAGAAAATATAACCGGTCTCTGCAATTGACACCCAGCCCCGACAAGACTAGACCCTGTTTGCACCCTAGACGTACCGCAGAACTACCTCCGCACATGCATGGCCGAGCACTCAACCAGCTAGCTCAGCTCAGACCGCGTACCGTGCTGCTGCCTCTGTACACAGATACAACACTCAATCGATCCAACCCTTAACGTGCATCCAACCACACACAAGCTTTTTAATATTGAAATTAGGGTTAGAGTCCTATTAAAGTATAATGCCGCTGGGGCCGGCCGGCGGCTCAAAAGACGAGAGGCTGTTCATTTGCATCAAATTCAGCGTATTCGCGATACACAATTGGATAATTATTTCGGAGATTCATTTGTCCTTTTGCCCCAAGCCGCATGATGAACTTATCTCAGAATCATTCGGGAAAAGAATGACCTCATAAATTATTAATTTCATGAAGGTCAATTTACACTCCACGTCAACAGTACGCATTAAAATCGGCATGTAAAATCAGTGTACATGTATTAGCCAGTAGTTTTTAAATGTCAGGCTGCGGACAGGGGATATTTTTATGAAGATGAAAAAAGAATTATATTTTCATCGGGATATCTGAATTGAAAGTAAGAGTTAGGGCATACAAAAATTCCATCATGTAGACGCACATTCGGAAAACCTAGGCTTCTTTGGCATTGCAAATTATTCATTTACTTTCAATTATTTTGAGGACAAAAACCTGTCTACATTTCCTTAAAAATTAAACTGTGTAAAGCGATGATCATATATCCGCCGCAACCCCGTGAGCGAGTTAGAAAATTTACGGCCTTCAATGAGTACACTCCCGTTCATCCGCCCGCCTACCACGCGCGCGATTGTCGACCATATACATGAACACGTACATTTAAAAGAACCCCCTTCCCAACTCCCTACGCGATAAAACGATCGAGGAACAGAAAAGCTCACAAGGTCGGCGCCACGGCAATATAGTTTCTACTATAGTTTCTGTAAGGATTATCGCTGAACAATAATAAAAAGATGTACTTACCGTGGATTTAATGAAAACTGCACCGTTGAACTGAAATAAAATCCAACTGAGTAAGGCCTTACGTTAAAACGTGTAACTGCACAGTGGTACATAAGCGTGCGATGCATATCATATAAGCCGAACATGAATAACAGGTGTTTAATTATTCCTTGGTACCCACAGTGTACGTCACAGCGTTCGTCATACGCATGTTTGTGAAGCCTGGCTGTGGGTATTTATACTAGTGAGAACGAATGTGCTTGGCGAGGCGGATCCCAGACTCTGGTTAATTAGATGGGGAGCAGCGAAAGCGTCACGTTAATCCCGCCTACTTTTTATACCACGCAGTCTTGGTATTTTCATTTCTCCAGATTCGGATAATGGTTATTTTTGACAACGGCCTTAGCCCAATTACATTCAGAGCTAACCGTTAATGAAAGAAGTATTGAACTTAATGTTAAATACAGAATGCTTTCGCACGTACAAAAACTTATTTCGTGCATTATGAAAAAAAATTCAGAAGATTCATGCGCGCCCCTGAACGTGTATTTACAAATCCCTTTGGGATCGATTAACAATCGATTATTAATGGTCATTCCATTTTTTCCAGGTTTTCAAACATTTCTCCTCGCAAACGCAGTTAAAAGTTAAATTGTTTAAGCCACGCCCCTTTTTATACAATCAAATTTTATTTACTCCTCCACACTCTGTACAAATCCTTCTGAAGTAAAACTTGTGCCATTTATTTGAAGACGACAAACATACTTAATTCACGTGAGTATGTTTACAAAGTTCAGTTTAACTAAAATATAAATTTCAAGAAGGACAACCACTATCGACGGCCGATCCATCGCAATATTGTGCCCCACCCACCTCACTCAGCGAAACTGGTCTACAGAGGGCGCTATTTAAATTCAAGCTTACAATAAATCTGCCCGCATATCAAATTTGAGAGAATGAAAAGAAACTGCCAACACCACCATGAATATTTTAAAACCAGATGTAAGTTACAGACGTTTTTCTCTGAGATACCTCTTCTATGTCTTGAAAAAAGTACCCTCACTCCCCTATCTGCTCATCACATCAAATTGTTTTCTGAGTACAAAGGTACAAAATGAAACAATTTTGTAAAATGCAAAATAAATTGTAAGGCAAAAAAACACAGAATACACCTAACAAATGACTTTTTATGGAAAAATTTCCATATTATGGACAAGGGATTATAATGAAACAATTTTAATTTGGAATTAGAAATAGGTCTCTGATGGAGAACCTGTGCCTATGCACAAGGAATTATCTTCACACTCACTGCATCTACTTGGCTAGGCCAATTTATTACAGTTCAGAGACAAGAACTCTGAACCCTTTCACCAGGAATCCTTTCAAGCTACAAATATTTAAATAACAGAAACACTAACTGACCACCATGTTGCTTAGCAACACTTCACATCTGTTGCCTAGCAACATGACACTCAAACATGTCACCAAACTTTGAACTGGCTGACTAATTCTTGAAGAGATTTCAGCAGGGCCGGGGAGTGCTCCTTCAAAGCAATGGCAAGAAGAAGCGGTTTGCTGTCAGGGGCTTCACATATCTCCACTGCTAGATTCTTGGCCATGACATGGGTAATAGGCTGGAAGAAAGGAGAATTCTTTCAAATATCAGTCACTTTAACGTTTACTGATTCTAGAAACGGATAAACAACACAATGAAGAAAAACTGCATGGTATAAGCATAGTGAGTAATTTTACATAGAAATGGTAAAAACTTCTTCAACTGAATATAATTCTTTTGCAGTTTTTCTGCAATTCCTATGATTGTTTCTATTGCTTTCAAATTACCCTGACTTCAATCAGAATCTCTGACATTGTTCCCAAAATTCCTGCCATGGTTCTCAAAATGACTAATACATACATTTTCAATCATTATTTCAAGAAGGCAAACTGTGCATCCCAACATAACCACCCTATGATTATTCCACTTGCCAATATTTTTGTGCAAACTGATCTCAAGATGGTGGAACAGGTGCACAACAAACATCTTGGCTCAAGTGAAAAACTGACTATAGCACTTCAAGGGAATAACGTTTTTACCTCATCTTTGCCCAGAAGTACTTTTGTCGTAAAATTCTGCTGCCGTGTGTCAGCTGGAGTGGTGTCTGGAATAACATGCACCTGTCAGAACAAACACTCCATTTCAGTAATTGGCTTCATTGACCAAGCATTATAATTTTGAAACATCTGCACAGACCCTGGGCAAATGTATCTCTTCCCAAGGCTACTTATCTGTACATTTCACAAGCACCATGGAGTTTAACCAGCCCATCGGATCCTTCCTCAACTTCCTTGTTAATTTTCAGAAATTTAGTATATTTACCAGCACATAATTATTTATGCAATGAATTCACACATGGGTGAGGTAAAAGTAGGGTGGAGTGGGAATTGAATGGGGGGGCGGGGGTAAGGCTGACCTTTGCCCTTAACAGAACAATGCCTGAATAGATGAAAAAAATTAAACAAAGTGGGTTAAGCCGGGCCCTTAATTTTGACACTTCATGGTGTGGGTTTGGATCAAGGAGGGTGTTCATGAACAACTTACTATCGTCCCTAGTTTCTCATATTGCGTTACTGCCACGAATATCCTGTCCTTGAAGGCTGTACACACAATGTCTGTGTGAACTCCATCAATTGTCGCTGCTCCCTACCATTCAATGAATTAAGCAAAGCAACGAAAGTTAATCAATTTTTTTTTGGTGTGTGACACAAAAGGCAGAATGATAGCATCTTTCTGTCACGAAAATTCCATTAACAGCCAGTTACTGCATAGAGAAATAAAAGCCTATTTTTCATTCTTCCAAGGTTGCGGTACACTCTGTGTTGTTGCCTGAGTCCATGGGGTTAATGGCATACTCAACTCTATTGCACAATAGAGAACGCAACCAGAGGCAACTAATCCCATAGTTCTAGGGGTACAGCCATGATTGCAGCATGATACCCCGATGTACAGTGATAGCTTCAGTGGTCCAGTGGTTAATGAGACATCTGCCCCATCATTTAGCCGGAGGTTCCTACTCTGTTCCAAGTGCTGCCACAGCGATCTTGAGAGAAGTTTCCTCACCTGCTCTAACTTCTAAGATTTACATGATTGGCATCTTCCCAGACACTGCCAGTTACCAAGTGAACTTGTTATCTCTGACTTTCTGCTTCTTACTGCAACAAACTCCACACTGGGATATTCACTAAATCTATGCTCGTGTAGCTCGGCCCGGTGTTTGCCTCACATCACTGCCATGACTGCAGTTCACAGCGCCACGCTGGAATGAAGGCGGTTATCGTGGTGCAGCACTGCAGTCAATGCCAAGTCATGATAGATGATCTTTGTGATGATGAAATTTCGACCATAAACTCACCTGTTTGGTTACGGGCAAATCTTCACCAGCCATTTTGACACATCAATTATTGGTAAATCAGGGGTAGGGGCCAACTGAGAGTGAGGCAGCAAAGTAAGAACTGAACTGAAGCTTAAAGAACGGCACATCACAAGTGCCAAAATTGCAGCCAGACAGGTCACTTGGTGGCGCTCTAAATGTAAACACGTGTCTAGCTAGCTAGCTAGCTCGTTGTGGAAGTTGGCGCTATATCGCGATCGCGCGCTCGTGCAAAAATTATCAGTTTGCTCTCTCAGAATTTTCAGCTCTAGGCCGAAATATAATTTCCTTTGTCAATGAGGGTGAACTAGTCTGTCGTTTCAGTGTTGCAGGCCTGCACCACATGTTACAGTCCTTTGAAGGCAGATTTGACCAGGTAAACCTTGAGAAATTAGACAGGTGGTTGTGCCAGTTTACCGGTGGCTAGCTGGGTCAGGAGTACATAAGTTTTAACACCAGTACTGTGACGGAAGTTTTTGTGGGGTGGGCAGTACGCGATCATGGAGAGGTGTTCTGTTCGGAATCAACGGCGGCAGTCAGCACTCGCCAGATGGTCTCGTACGCTAACTCTCCTCCTCGCCGTACTCTTTGGCTCATTAGCCGTTTTACCATCGGAAACGTCCAGCAATGTGGACTCATCAGTTGAAAGTGACAGTGCAGGAGATCACGAGGACCGCACAAATTTGTATAAAAAGCCAGACGGTGAAAGTGATGTTACGGAAACCTGTCCACGTGAATCGGGAGGGAATTTGGCGGGAAGCGAGGGTGCATGTCCAGGAAAGTCACGATTGGTTCGACTAGAAGGAGAAAAGGTACATGTAGTCTTGGATTAAAATATGGATAACAAATTTCTTCAGTTAACAAGCCCTTAATTTACCCTCAAGGCTTTTATAGTTGTTATAAAAGGGTATAGTATTTTACTTTAGTCTTTAGGCAGATGTAGACATCAAGAAATTACTTCCTACATGTACATGTAGTTCTTTGTTCTGATGTTGCAAGTGGTAAAACTGCATAATTAATTGAGTTAAGAGTGGGTGAAATATGTCAAGTATTCATTGAAACTGACATTGTATTTGCCGTTGTGACATCTCACAGGCTATTAGGGCTTTGTAACTTTTTCATTTTACTAGTAGTTTATAATCACATTTTGTGTCAGTCGCAGTAATGGTTAATTTTTTTTTAATGAAAACATTTTTTATGAAAACCAAAAAAAAAATTAAAAGTTCTGTCAACTACACCATTAAATCAACAAGGTCTTTGTCTTTCAGTAATTGACAGTTTGAATGACCTGTTGCTTAGTATCGTTGACCCTATTTTTCACTTTTACTATGGTGTATGGGAAATAGTCAGAAAACTTGGAACTCTGATGAGAATTGTGTATGAGAGCTCACAACTTCAGATTGTAAAACGTATTTCATGGAAAACTAGACTGGTACACAATGTGATTCATTGGTATATCATTGCTATTTAAGCCATGCTTAAACTATATTCACCTTCATTTGCAGTCTGGCATATTACCATATTTGGACAGCCTATTACATCACAAATCTTGTGCAATCTGACCAATTATAAGGCTTGTTCTAGCAGCCTGGAACAGATTGTATGGGTGTTTCCATGTTATGGAGTACTTACACGTTGCCACATATGGAACAAAAACACTAACGAAAAGTTTCAAATTGCAAAAATTTGATTGGCTGTGCAAAAAACCTGACAACAGATGTAAAGTAGAAGTTCTAAAACACGTTTGTATTGGTGGGATTTAAATTTCGTCGTCGCCAACTTGAGATACTAAAGTTGAATTTGTACAAAAATTGCTGTATCAGTAGGGAAAGGTCACTATTCCCATATATGGTAATACTCTAGACTGATTTGTGGTGTCTTATTGGAACCATTGGTACCAAAAGCAGTGCAAAATTATTGGCCAGTGGGTGTTCATTATCAGTAGAGCGTCAGTGTATATGTACATGTAGTCACTAGCAAACCGGAGGGTCTTGCTTCCAAAGAGTCTTGTTTTTTGCCTCACACTAAAGTGCCTACTTTTAACAGGGTGTTGAAGAAAAGCATCATTTAAAATCGTCTTTGCCTTACAGAACTTTTTGGCCTGATTTTTGTTCTACATGTGCCTCAACACTCGGGGTCCGAGTTTGGAGGAACAAAAAAAGTGCTAAACTATTTTGAATATATGGCTCTTTCAAAAGAATTCTAAAGCAAAGTTTGAAGTCTCAATCCAATTTTCAAGTACAGTTTTCAGATTTGTTTGAAGGTCCAGATTCCAAAAAAGTCTACTGTGAAATTGCAGTAGGTGGAATAATGGCCTTCCCTTGTAAACACATAATTATGCATAAGTCAGAGAGAAGCTAGAAACTCTGTCAGTTGAATATGTGCAACATTTTACTTTTCAGTCCACCACCTCATTGTTATGAATTTCAGCTCAATAATGCATTGATCTTTTGAGCCTTTGGTAACTTCCTGCCTGGCATTTTCTGTGTGAATGATTCAATTACCTCCTAACACCTGCGGCTTCCGGAGACTGGGCCGACAGGCCTCTGTGGTCAGTATCCCCCGTAGCAATCATGCAGCGCACCGAATGATGGCTCTTGGGCAAAAGAGGCACGAGCGCAGGTGATACGGACAAGTGGATGACAGGACAAATGACAATTTGACAAGAGAGAAATTTACTCCTCAAGGGACAGAAATGAACATCTAAAGGGAGAGACTGATATACAGAAAAAGACACTTGTGAGGCAGACTGCATCATATCAGAGACTAGCCGGGCATGCCAAAAGACACAATACCGGTAGTCTGACGAATGTTAGACAGACCCACAGACGTTATCCGTCTCCTGACTTACTGAAGGAATGTACTATTAACAGCACATTCTCATCCATGTGTTACCATTTTGTGATGGGGGATTGGAAAACAATAGTGCAAAACAATCATCATTATAACTGAAAACTACCTGAATAAACAAGAATAAATCTACACAACTGACAAAATGCTTAAAAATCACTCTTACTCATTAAATTTGCTAACTATTTATCTGAAACATTATGCCTTCTTCATACCTTGGTTCAAGTAGAAAAAAAAACAGTTAGCTATTATTTTTGTTCAGGTATACATTTGTATTTGTTATTTTGTACTTAAATCTAAACATCCTTTCCTTTTAGTGTTCGGAAATCAAGGCTCTCTATTTAGCTGTGTAAGGCAAGGCACTGAGCACAAATGACACATACATAATTTATCAAATCACGTTTTGAAGGGTTGCTTCTTCAACCCCCCCACAGCCCCACCCCCAAAGAAAAAAGTCATACTCAGATACACAAACTAATGCCCATACTATAGTCCACCATTGTAAAGCAATCAATATTAATAAGTGAGGAAGGGGGAAGGAAAAAAGATAAGGCCAAAATCAATCATTACCAACCTACTTGTACACCCTCCGGTCTCTAACGTGAGAGAAAAAAGGCCCCACGTACACACACATGCACAAGTATTTGCAGGAAGATGGAGAACAGTGCTCTCGTGTAAGGGAGACAAACTTAAAGGGTCCACACAGTGCAATTTTACATCACAGCTCTTGGAAATGCACCTCGCTGTTTTGATTTTCATTGATTTTTCAGTTTATGGTTTGTTATTGTAAACTGAATCTCTGACTGGCATCACACTGACAGCGATTTCAGTTTGTCCCGAAATAGCATGGGCAATGTGTTAAGTGTTTAAGTGAAAAAAAAGTGCACCAACAGGTGTCACACACTGAAGAAGAGAATCGAGATGAACAAGTATGTCCCAGACAAATTCATCACATGGACCATTCAAGAGACTTGCAGTGACAAAAATGCATTCTCTTCAGTTCTCTTCAATTCATTATTTTCTCTTGGATAATATTTGAACTTTACTCACATCGGTAGTTCTACCATGGCTAAAAAAATCACACTTCCTGATACGTGTGGCATGCTTCGATTTAGACTGGGTCTGTGCCCCACTGGGCATTTGTTGGCTGTGATTAAATTGTTTAATTTTGTACATATTTTTGTCTGGTATTTTTCCCCTTGAGGTATCTGCATGTATGTCTGTACACTGCTGTCTGACAGATAGATTTTTCAGTGGAAAAATTTTAAGCAACTTATTCCTGTGATTTAAATCATGTCCAAGTACATTTTGCCTCAGCACACCTCTTCATTGCCTGCGAAGGATTCCGCAAAGAGAAATTATTTTACTTGATTCTGGAATATTCATGGGGAAAAATGATCAATGTATGTATGTGGCTGGGAATCACTTATCTTTTTAGACTTCTCCTGACTGAACACCAGGAAATGGATGATTTTTTCTTGCATTAAAACAAAATGCACACCAGTGTTGGCATTTATAATTTTTTCATGGGCTTTCGTTGAACCAGAACCAAATTTGATGGAGCAACAGGACAGGGGCCACATTTTCTTGAGCAGGAGCTACATGTAAATCAATGTGGTCATTGCTTCAAACACCACAAAGCTCTCTTTTTTCCCCTCTAAATTCTGTGGAGGAGGGGGAACAGCAGCCTCGGACTCATGTTGATGCACTCCTATCCTCCGCCCCTGCCATGCACCCTACAATTGGGCAGATACTCAATGAAGTCAGACCATGGAGTAAGTCAAATGCAAACAATCCTGAGTCAGTTGACCTACATTGCAGGGATACACAATAAACCATCAAGTGAAGTCCAAATGGCTTGGCATGAGAGTGGATCCAGGGTGTGCTCTCTCTAAATAACAACCTCTGGATCTTGCCACAGGCAATGACGAATCACAAGTACTAATACATGTAAACATAAGGCATATGTTGATAATATATAATGCATTTATGTAGCACATTAATACCTGGCAGACTTTCAATGCACTTTACCCTCACATTATCACTGATGGGAATTAATGATGCATTGCATTTCAGTAGGGTGCACATGTACATATGTGTATGTGGTCTTTTCGGTTGGCAGGTGGTGCATGCAGCTTGTCAAAATATTGTATTTACAATAATTTTTCATTCAGCAAGCCAGGAATGCCAAAATTTTCTTCATTCAGCATATTCTGAAAATGTTGTATACAAGTGCAACTTCTGCAGTGCAGATGACGTACATGTACACTATGCACTGGGAATAAAGTGTGGCTTGAGTGAAGTCCTGTGCTACTGAATTTTCACTTTTTTTAAAAATATGTTTTGTTTTGTGTGTGGTCTTTTTTTTTCTTGTCCACCGTGAAATGATGTCCATTTTCAGTCAAGAGTTCAAAAATCCAGATCGGAATGTTGTAAAATTTCCGGAATATGTCCTAAATGTTTGCCTGATTTATGAGGCAAAGACCCGGTCTGTGTTCTGTGTAATTGAGCATCGCAGGATATATATGCTTGCTTGAGGAAAGAAGTGTTGCCATTTTGCTGTTGTGTCACATGCACTTAGTGCAGGAACAGACAAAAACAGAAAGACCAAAATGCAAGTTCAAGCTGCTCTAGAACCAGGGGCAACGTTCATTTTTGACCCCTTCTGTGTGGAGTAATTTAATGCTTCAAAGTTGATTCTGTGTCCGGCTAGACGAAATGCCGGTGTCATGCACTGTACTTGAAGTAATACATTCAAGTGGGTCACGTGCACGTGGAGGTGATAACTATTAAATCTTATTTCACATTGATGTATATATTTTGCTCAGGTTGAAACTAAGAGCATTAAAATGCACTTGCCTTATCCCAAATTAATGTGTATAATTGATTCATCTTTTTAGCATACAGTGCGGTGGAAAGCACTTTGAAATGCTGCGTACATATATGTGCAACCAGTGTAGATCTTATCAATTTGTAGAACTTTGAAATACATTTGAACAAAACCTACGTTCTGAAGTCCAGGAAATTCAATTATTGTAAATTAGTATTCTTGCCCAGTTGGAACAATCCAAACATTCTCAACCCACCTGAGATGGATTGTTTGCATTCATTTTGCCACCTGCCACTTGATTTTGCTATAGAATAAATTGTGTTAAAAAATGGCAAAGGCCTGGCCATACTCCATGTAACAATGACACTGTGTTACTATTAATGTTGCCCAAATTATTTCAGTATTGTTTGAAAATACACACATGTATATGTCCCCTTCCTTGGGTAAGGTACATGTAGATGTGGACAGTGGGGCGGTGTTTGTGTCTTACATGTAGCCCTGTCTACCATCTTAATTGCAAGTGAATTTTAAAAAATCAATACAAAGACACCAAAGAACAAGGAGAATGCCTAAATGTTAAATTGTTGAAAAGACATACAAAGTTGACAAGGACAGAAGGGGCGGGGCTTAGCAACTCATTCACTCCCCCTCCCTTTTATGTCCATGTTCAGCCTGGTGCTTTTGTTGCAAATTAATTTGGTGAAATCAATATAAATGTAGGCATCAAGTTTCAATCGAGGGGATAAAAATACAATCAGTATTTTGGAGAATATCACGTCCTGTGGAGATCAACCAATACATACATGTAGGAACTCCGACCCCACCTGAAGCCTTTCCAGTTATTGGTCAGACACTAGGGATGTATGATGCTTTTCTTCACGCTCCCTTCCTCGTTTTCAACCAGGCAGTTGAGCAGCGCTCATGTCTGGGAGCGGGCGCTGCTGTCTTAATTGCAAATTAATTCAGAAGTAAAATCAATCGGAAGTCATCAGAGAACCACTAAAGAGTGCCTAGATACAGACGTGATGAAGAGACAGTGGATGACATCTTGACAGAGATGGGAGGAGAAGGGGTGGGGCTTGTCGACTCATCCCCCCACCTAAAAAAAATAGTCATTTCTTTTTCTTTTCCTTTGTCTGTTTCCCAAGGACTTCCATTTACAGTTGGGTAACATTTGATGATTAGAAACTTCTACAATAACATCTGTAAAATGTATCTTTCAGTTGTAAATGGTTCATTGACTTACAGGTACATAAACGTACATGTAAATGTATCCAGCACAATTCTTGAGTCTTCAGTGGGAGAGGCTATTAAGATACATGTATAAATACAAGCAAGATATTTTCAAATTGATTTTTTTATTTCAACACAAGTGACCTCAAGCATATTTTCCTAGACCAAATAGAAATCCACAGTGTTTTCAACTAACCAAATATTTATTCGTTTTGAATATATGCCAACTACAAAATTGCTTGGCTAAGTTGGATTTCAAGCCTTGTGTAATTTGCCTGGATGTGATGTCATAATTTATTCATGACTTTGCACAGAGTGGTAAATTGCACTTGGTTTGAAAAATGGTAATGACAGGTGCTGCACTAGTTCGACATTTTTTATTAGAGGAGCTGTTTTGTTCTGGTAGTCAGCATGGAAATACTTTTTTATTATTACTTCACCATGGCAACTAATAGACGTTACCCTGCCAATCTACCAAGAGGCTGGTTTAGCAGTTTGCTCAATAGGAACAAGCAGTCAATAGAAAAATTATAAAATATAAAATGAATTCCATATTCTGATATACTTTCTACTTCCATTTAGGTTGGGCACATTGAAGAATTACAGCTTGTTCAAGGCAAAATACACCAGCTCAAAACCATTAACATGAAGCCTGTTATATTTGGTAAAGTATTGGATAAAATCACATTTTCAGTTAGTCTCCTTTGTCAGTATGCTCATGATGTAAAAATTCATTTTATTTAAAGTTTTCATTTTAAATTCCCTTTTTCTTGCTAATATGTTTTCATTTGTAACTAGCAAATGAAAATTCATAAGCTGTTCACTTACATCTTCATAATGTGGAAGGATGTATTTCAAAAGTGAAATTGCAAAGAAAAGTTTATATACATGTACATATACCAGTCCCTCATTTCAAAGATTGAAAATGGGTTTTTCTGTGAAGAAATCTGCAAGAATTTCGGATTATCAGATCTATTTTATACAAAAAGTTCAGCGATGTTTATTCCAGACCTTTATGTGATTTTGTCATTACCGGTGTTTACTATTTGCTCTCCTGTTTTTCCTTTCAAAAGTTTAATCAGTTGAATTTTTTTCTTATTTATGTTGCATAAAGCAAAGGTGGTTCCAATAGTGATTTAAAGAAATTCTCCAAAACCAGAAGTGTAAACTTACCAAAAATGACTAAATAGATGACTAAATAAAAATAACAGCACATCTTCTGAAATCTTGCTCTTTTCTGACCAGAAATCCCAGATTTCTTCACGAGAGAGGAATGTAATCACATCATAACCCTAGCCAAGGAACAGGGCCTGGAAAGTAGTCTCACCACATCCACTGGCAAGGGCAAAGGCCTTACCCTACGGGACAGCAATGGAGACCAGAAACTTAGTCTAAGGGAGGTAAGGCCAGGTCCAAATTACTTGGCTACTACTAGAAATAACTCATGAGCCTTTGGGAGATGGATGAAGCCACTGGCAGCTTCCATTGTGTTATTTGTATGCACTGTCAGGTACTTTAGAATCGGCTTAAAATATCGTTAAAGGGCATTATAATTTGTAGTTGCTGAAGGCCAACGTTTCAATAGACGGTGGGTTGGTTTGCTTTTCAGCCAGCTGTACAGAGCCTTAAACTTCATGCAGTAAAAGATGAGACATGTATTTATTTATTTCTCTGTTAGTGATCTGACCTTTCAACTGTATTGAGTATCGTTGTCAGAGTTGTATTTGCCGAGGGTGCTGTCTTAGACTGAAAAAATAGGGCTAAAGAAAATAGGTTTTTCATTCCAACCTGATTTTTCAGGATATTTTTTCTAGGACATTTTAGATTTTCTAAAACCTTTTTGTGTTGAAGTCATAAAACCTGTTAAATTGTAAATGTACTCTCGTTAAAAAATTGCAGAGCTGAAAGGTTACCCCAACTAAGAGCAATGCAGGTGGCAGTTAACGAGCTTTTTGTACAGGAAATCTGATTTGTTGTCACGTAGTTTGTTTCTGAAAAGGAGGAATGCTCAAATATTCACATTTTTCTGTTTCAGATGCAAATGACCCTGGAAGATGGCTTTGACATCTACCTAGATGACGATGACATAAGACAAATGTAAGTGTTCGATCTAGTCAACAGAAAAAAAATATCTTCTGGAAATCACCACATTTTTAATTCGTTTTTACAGTAAAGTGGCTGCTCAATAACTCAATCTTCACTCGGTTATGGAGTGCTTGCCAATATTTTTTGCAAGAAACCTTTTTTGACTTTTCCTTGAAAACATAAGAGCGTTGACCAAGGCATGATTCAAATCTGTAACTTTCAGAGAACTAGCCTCTGTATCCTGGTATATTGGGATTTCCAAAGTTATCAGTGTCCATGTTTCAGGGCCACTAGTTGACACCAACGAAATCACATGTACACTGTCCAGGGCCCAGGATGCCAATGTGAGCAATGTCAGCAAGACACTTAATTTTAAAGGAAAAAAAAAACAAGAATCTTAGGAAGAGAGCACATCTTTTGTTTCAAATTGTGACTACTATTTCAATCCCTGTAGTTACATTTGAAGAGCAATTGTAGATACGACAAATCTTTAAGTGCCTCAGGCCGGGAGACACACTCCACTTGCTGTCCAATTATCCCCTCAAGCGATTTCCCCTTAACCATGGGAGGCGTTTTAAGAGGTTCATTAAACTTGATTGCCTCGAGCGTCTAGAGGTAAAGACCATCACCTAATCTCATCCACGACTGTCTCATTTTCAGACCCAGTTATCCACTGACCTACTTGATTCCCCCCCCCCACGTTGCGTTCTGTTTTGCTTTGTCTGGAAATTCAGGTCAGGAAAATCCTGTCGTGTTTTCTGTCTGTCGGTCTCTCAGCTTGCCCCCGAAAACACTGCAGATTTTTACAGAGTATCACTTTCAGTAATGTTTAAGACTGATCGAAATTTTTCAATGTGCAGGATATATTTTCGAAAAAAAATTATCAAGGGTTATTTTTTTCTTTGGTTTAAACTTGAAAAAAAAAAGGACACACTCAAAAGAAGTACATGTACCGGTAGTTGGATAGGGTATAAAGATTTTTTTTTAAGTTTTCATTCATACAAACATACTTCTGAAATACTTCCATTATATCAAGGCCAATGCCTCCAATTGTACAGATATGAATGATCTTGATATCACTGCAGTACTAGAGTTTATTTTTTGGTAATTGATCCATTCACAAAATTTAGTTTTTCATTGCAATATTAGAGATCTTGATTAAAATTTCAAGATATTTTACCAGATAAGCATCTGTTTTTATACCTTCTCAATTGTCAGCTTTGAGCTATGGAATGATGAAACGTATTGTCATTCTGGTCATCTGATGCTTCTTATCCATGGGCACTTTGATGTAACCCAGTACAAGGTGGTGAAATCTATCGTGGCCATTGACAACGCATCAAGGCAGGCCTTCTGCATTATTAATTCACCAGATGGGGGAAGAGCTTTCCATATGTACCAGGGGGAGGCTCCGATGGACTAGAATGGTCTCGTTGAAAAGCATACATGTTGCTTGGGTTTGGAGCCCAGAGGGACAAATGTAATTTAGTGGAATAATTTTTTCCACAGGTTACAAGAAGTATGCCGCTCCTGAAATTGGAGTGCATCATATAACACTTGCATCACATGGATTAGTTACTCAGAGAAGCTTCGTTTTTGTGGCACGCCTTGGGAGAAAAGTTGGCATGTTTTTTAATAGTCTTCCTTGTGCACGTGTGAAGGACCTAATAAGTGAATGCTTTGTGGTATTGTTGTCCTCTGAATTGCTTCTTCCGGTTAAGAGGGCTACAGTTGTTGCTGTTCAGATCAATCATGTCATGAAAAATGAAAATGCTAAAATCTCATTGGTTGAATCCCCCTTCTGGGATGCACATACGATTTGATCTTGGGGAGGTACATCACACACATCCATACAAAAATTCATGCAGCAACTCTTCAATATTAACAAAGTAGCAAAGATAAAACAAAGACAGCAGTGCAGCAGTCAATTGAAGTAATTATTTTTATTGAAATGAGAGAAATATCTCTTTGAGAAAGACAGGATTGTGTCAGAATTGAAAACAGGATGCTGGTATGCAGTTTGGCGAACCAGATTATGGGCATTAAACCCAGAGAAAATGCCACTGAATTGAAGTGCAAACTGGTGCCTCCAGACATCCCAGCTTTATCATCAACAACCTTGGGCTATTTTGCCAGCTGTAGCCAGTCAGAATAGGCAACACATATGCCAGACATAATTACAATATTTTATTAATCAAGTGGCTTTTATCAGTCTGATAATCTGTTTTAATCTGGTGTTTATGGAATTAAAATTTTGTAAACTTTGTTCCCAAATTTGTCAGTCTCGCAGATGTTTGTTAAAAATAAGAAAAATTGCCAGAATATTTTTTACCTTGTTACTAGTGAGCCCTGTGCAAGCCGCACACGTTCATTTATGTAGACTGGTGTGGAATGGAAAAAAGGAGCAATTTTCCAGCGTACGTAGAGTAGGTCATCATCAATCATGTTTGCAGTTCTTCAATTTCAGCTTCCATGCTTTCTCACTGGCCTCTTACTGCCAGTGTTGGTTGATGGCAGGCTGAGGGCATGTCGGGCTGTGTTGTATTACATTTACACCTCCGGCCTCAGTCATTAGAGGAAAAGTCTTGGAGCATGGGCTGAATAGATCGTACATGTAGATTAATGGTTCGCAGACTAAAACATGTCTGAAATTTTAATTGAATTTTTTTTTTTTTAAATACTTTCTCATAGCTGCAGCTGGTGTTTGGAGCTGCTTAATTTTTGTCGGCTCAGTTCAATTCCACTAATTCAATTCCACATTTATTTTAACATCGAGAAATCATATTTTGGAAACCAAGTCATAAGGAAAAAATCATAAAAAGAAGTTAAGAAGGTAAGTTATAATTGATAAAAACACCCAACTTACATATGATCATTATATAATGTCGGTATGAAGGACAAAACAAAATACGGACAAGACAGGACATTACATTCCAGAGCAAGATTTAGTACAACCCACGAGTAAAAAAAGTTAATATGTAAAAGATGGCTGAGGAAGTGTTGCTGCTGTCTCAGTCAATTTTTTTTTTATTATTATTTTTCCATTGTTGTTACTGTTGTTTTTATAGCAACTGAACGCACAAAGCAGACAGTTTATGCCTAATCGTCATTGCCATGGAAACGGTCTATCTTGTGTTCATTGTCAACAAGGTCACTGTAGCGACCTCATACATAATGCTATTCATTGGGTAATGGGGAGCTGAATGTTGGAATTAGATGTGTTTGGTTGGAACTAGGTTGTTACTTTGTTGATTAATGGTAGAATATTTACCTTTGACCCCTCGTATCAACAGTTTGCCTGAGTTACAGTATTTCACCTGTTTTTGTAATACCTTGCAGGTATGCTGAGCTGGGTGTGGATCTAAACAAGGATGGTGAGTTACAGAAACAACAGCGAGTAAAGTCTGCTCTTCCCTGAGGGATGATATGATCATTGTTACTAGCTTTCATCTTGTGCTGTTCAGAGGCATGCTGGGTATTGTTTGGTTTTTGTCCCTTGAGAGATTGGAAGAGGGAAAATTGGCAGTGCTATCACTGGCGTAAAGAAGCCTGCTTCAGTGAAGGTTTATTGTGATATTTTATGATGTAGTTTTGCTTATTGATACCCTAATGTTTGGTTTTTCTGTTTTTGAGGAAAGTTGTGTTATCTATCTAGTGGTTTGATGGTCCAATCATGCCTTTTGTATTGTGCGTTCTACCTACTTGGGCACCAAATCTTCACTTCTATTTGTTTTTTTCACTAGCATTTTAATTGTACTGTCTTGCTGTCAAGGATTCCTGTCAAGGCAAGAAGTGGACGGGGAAACCATCCGGAAGATCTCATCTTACGTCATGAAAGTGGAGGAGGAACAGCCCATCAAGAAGTCTCGCTTCAGTGAGCAGACGTGGATCTACCCAGACAAGACAGAGGATCCACTGGTCCAGTCCTTTCAAGACAGGTGAATGAACGTGTATGTCAAATGGATATGGGCTTCTACTAGAGTTTGCAGTGCATTGGCCAATCACAATGCACAAAATTTGTTGACTCTTTCCAAACGCGCAATGGGTCGACAGATTTAGTGCATTGTGATTGGCCAACTTGTTGCATTGTGCTATTGTGAAATTCCCGTATTGAACGATTTGTGACCAGATCCCATTAAATGGGTCTCTTCTCTCTCTAAATTGCTTTTCACTTGCATTAGATAGAGCATGCTCAACTCTCTGTTTTGTTTCACAGACATTACCGATACATGGTTTAAAGAGGGAAGCTCCCATTGATTTCTGTAGTGCAAAGTTTGTGAAAGAAGACTGTTGCTCAACTGTGCTGACAGTAGATTATCATTGCTCACTTTTTTAAATCCATTTTTAGATAGGTGAAATCTCATCCATTCATCCTCTTAGCTTTGAGAAATTACACGACAGCAGGCTCAGAGAATAATGTCTAGCCATTGAAAACATTAAAAAATGTACGAATCACAGCATAAGGGATACACTTGACCAGAGGGAAGTTCAAAGGTCACATTATTTTGAAGGTTTGTTGTTCCACGTGATGTCATCCAGTTTTCTTTATAGCAGCATTTTTCACCCATTTTCCTGTTTTCTAGGATAGCAAAACTGACCATGCTTCCCCGGGTTCTTATCGACAAGTTCAGCTACTTCCAGGTGGTGCATTATGGGAAGCAAGGCCACTACAACGCCCACCATGACTCCAGTTACCTTGACGATTCATCGACATGCTGTCACCTGACTGAGAGCAAGCAGTGCCGGATATGCAGGTAAGTCCTGACGGATTCAGACTGATCATTTACTGAGCAGCAATTACTAACAAATTCTTCACCCTATTAAACACCCGTCGCTCCTTCATCTTTGGGAGGATTGAGAACTGTTAGATGAAGTGTGACATTAATGAGTGCCATTTATTTTCATGTGCACCCTTTTACTGCTTTGCTGTTTGTGGGAACAGCATTGCAAGTGACTTCAACCAGGCTTTAGGCTAAACTTTCAACCATTTGTCACGCCTACTTCAGTTCGCAGTTAAATTGGCCCGTTGTTGCTCTTCCCTGTACGTTCTGCTCCTCAAAACAATATTAGTTCAAGGGTTTAACTGTGGTTTTCAGTGCTTCTTTGCATGCTGCCGTTCATGTTCAGGGTTGTTTGATATTCGTTGATTTCATGCAGGTTCTAAGGTTTTGCACAGGCGCTTATTTAATATTCATGCAATCGCAAAATTTCAAGTCCACTTTGAAGACTTTAGAAGAGCTATTAGCTGTTAGGTTTCTGATTTGTTTCTGTGTAATTTATTTCCAGGTAATTTTTGTATAATGCACGTGAGCTTCATTGTTGTGAATGTAACAAGTCATTAAACATGACTGTTACAACTGTTTTGGTAAACCGATCTCTACTTTTGATTGCATCACTGGGGACAGCTGTTGAATCTAAGCAGAAACTTTTGCACTTTCATTCCACAGATACATGACGATCATGGTCTACTTGAATAATGTGGCAGAAGGAGGGGAGACTGCATTCCCAGTTGCCAATAACGATACTTACAATGCTTACGTGAGTAGAAAGCAAGGGGGAAAAAATAAGCAAGATTGCAAGTAGTTAGAACATGAATAACCTACAGTAAGTAAGTTCTGTTGGTTGTGTTATCTGAATTGTGGATGCAAGAGACATTTTACTTTGGGCTGTTGCATGCTACGGGATTCAGCTGGCTTCACAGTTTTCTTTGGTTGGTTGGTTTTGTTTTTTTTTATTGAGAAGACTCCATGCTTTCATTTTGTACTTTAGGGATTCTGTTTGGATTCAGCAATCTTCACATTTTGTGTATGTCGGATTTGGGTAGTTCCAACAAGCTTTATGTATGTAGTGTATGTAGTGCTTGTAGCATTCTGTTGGAACCGGTAGGGTTCCCTGATATATAGCAGTGACAGTCCTTTGGTGGGAACTTACTGTCCACAGGCACAGGCTAATGCATATTTGGCATGGGACTCGCTGAACCCTTTCAAACAATTTCTGTTTGAATGTAAGGCCTTCATGTTTTCACTGGGCATGAGCATGAGCTTGGTTGAAAAAAAATTCCCACTGGCCTGTCAACGGGCAGATAGGTTGTCCTACCCATCAGTGTTATCTCATCTTTGTCTGAAAATCTATGGCAGGTGTTTCGTCAGACGGGCATGATGAACCTCAACACCCGCTGCCAGGACTCCAACCTCAAGGTCCAGCCGCAGCAGGGCAAGGCAGTCGTCTGGTACAACCACTTCATCAATGCCAGCACAGGCTGGCTGGGGGACGTGGACCCCTTGACCTGGCATGGGGGCTGCCCAGTCACCAAGGGTCACAAGTGGATCATGAATCGCTGGATTGCCGTCAGCGAGAGCCGGGAGGTGGACCTGGCGGTGCCATGACAATTAATGCCCTGGCTGCTGGCAGTGCTGTGGTGTAGCCTGCATTCTTTGGTTGTGGTGTCAAAGGCGAACTACTCGGGAAGACTAGTCCAAATTATCATGGCAATAAATACGCTTGTGGGTTCGTTAATTCTTTACAAATCATTCAATCACTAAAATAACATCAAGTGTTAATCCTTCACTGACAGTCGAAAGACTTTGGTACTAAGCCTGGCTTGTGTTCAATCAAGTAAGTGCAATGCTAAAAATGCAATATTTCGGTAATATTTTCCTTAAATAAAATCATTGACTTACCATTGTTTTGTGCTTTGTTTTGCTTTTGTTTTCATGCAAGTTGTTTGGAATTTTCTGGCAGTGCAACTTATTGCAACAAACTGCACTTAAACAAAAAACATTAGAAAATACAATAAGCAGTAAACCATATCAAAGTATATCAGCCTCAAATTTAAATGGATTTGCGTGATTTTGCATTCCTACATTGGAGCCCGGAATGCATAGATTTATTTCGAATACATCCTGTATTCACCCAACCACTTTGAAATTTTGTCTTCAGCAGTGCATTTTTCTATTTGCTTTGTGACCAGCAGGCCCTTGTGTAATCCGTAGGCCAAAAATCCAACAGACACAAAAGATACTGGTATTGTCTATGTAGGAAGGCATATTAAGAAAGTTATTGTTACTGAAGAAAACGTGCTTGACAACTTCTGAAATAATTTGTTGTATTTCACTAATCCCTTGACCATTCATCAAATCAGCTGTGAAATTTCTGTGTGATTACCCAGTCAGGAGACCATTGTATGATGCAGGTCTTTTTTATTATTATTAGATGAGATAACAGTTTAGGAAACTTTCCAGATGGCGCACAAAACTTTAATTTAAATATGAGCATTTTTGATGGATTTATCTTTGGTTTTTACCTCAAATTGAAAAACGTTGCAGTTGCTAATAAAAAAATCTAAAAACCTCTTATTTACAGAACAATTGGATTGGATTGTTAACTGAGATAATTCATATCTGGAAATGAAAATTTTCAGCTGAGAAGGTTGAAGCAATATCCTCTCACTTTTCATTTTAAATTCTATAGTTTTTTAATTACAGCCTACAACAGATGTGCTTGACACATTTATCAACCGATCTAGCAGATGGTGTTTGTTTGGTTTTTTAGCGGGCACGGTATTTATCATATTTCACAGGCAGACAACGAAGGGTGCCTAAAACAGAATCGTAAAGGTTGAATTAAAGCTTCATTATTCATCGACTGGTAGCTTGCTTGTCAGATAAGTGCCTTAGTTCAACTTCTAATTGAACATTTAAAGGACAGTGTGAATGTACAGGTGTAAAAATTCTACATGTATATAGATTCCTGCAGTACTTCAACCAGTAAATACTGGGAATTGTATAATTATTTGGCTGCTGAATGTAATGTTTTGAATATTTTGGAACCAAAATTATAGAGTATGAACGACTTATATGAAAGCAATATAACGTATTTTTTATTTTAAATTGTGACTTGTATTTAACAACTAAGTTAAGATTTTATTTAATTGCTGAGATGTGCTTATTTGAAAAATAAATGTATAAGAAATGTACTCCTCCCAAAAAAGTGAATATGATTTACCTTTCCCAATGTTGGTTGATTGATAAAATAAGTGTCATTAATATAATAGCAAAAATATTACATTTTTATCATTCATAATTCATTATTAAGCCGAGTTGGGTTTCTTTCTCGATTGTCAAAAAATTTGGTTTTGCTGATAAAATTGAGGGTGTTTGTTTGTAGACCATACATGCAAAAGTCAACTTTCTTCTAAATTTCCCAAGTCCTTGTGCAACGTTAAGTTCTCCTCCATCATGACTATCTGTAGTGAATGTCGGCCGACCTGACTGCACACCACTTTTATCAAACGAGGCGATTACAGAGAAATTAGCCTGATGAAGGACGGGACCGACATTTTTGATGGTATTACCTGATTGAGGACGCGTTGAAGTGACCTTTTGTCCTTCAACTGAAATATACTTCAGGGTTACAACTTTGGGCAGTAAATATAATTAACATTAAAAATCGATCTTTTACAACAGGAAAGAACCTGAAGATAAAAGGAAACGCCATCTTGGATTCCAACCAAAAAGTCTACAATAATCCTTTCCCATACCCACAACGCTTTGCTCCATCAAACTCCTGTTCTTTTGTACCCGCGACCCCACATGATGACGCTTGATTAAAGTTGATGTTGTGTATTTTAGATAATGCCACAGTCTATGTTGGCCCTGATGCTAACGGGGATTTCCCTATGAAAGCCTTGCTTTTCCCTAACATCCCTGTATCAGGATCGGGTGCGAATATCATCAGATTGGAGAGGAAAATTGTGCTTTTGGTACTGAGACCCTCTTTTAAAGTTCTTAAAGTTATCCTTTTTTTCTTGATGTTTTTTATAAACATATATGAATTAGTAATTTTTTGCAGGAAAATAAAAGGAGTGAGACTATTTCATTTGGGGTTGAACATCTCAGGCGGGAATCGAACCCACATCCTGTGGTTCTTGTCAGCAGCATTATCCACTGGACCATCAAGGTTTTCCTACTACTGAGAGAAGGAAAAGGAATAAAAAGTCAGGTGCCAAAATCATTTGGCCAGACTCGAACCCCTAACCTACCACTTCAAGAATTTCTTACTCATTATTAGGGGAAAAAGACTGAAAAACAAGGCGTTGAAAAATCTTTGGCAGGTGTTGACATCAGTTGTTGTTGGTGGTGTTTTCTGGTGCTTCCAATTTTAGTGACATTTTCTGATGGAATTTGTCTCGTGTTTGAGACCTCAACCAAGCAAGACGATCTATTGGTCCATCGGTTGTGTTACTAACGCTAGAGCAAGTGCAAACAGTAAAGGAAAAACAAAAGCAATTTCTTGTAAATTTTATTTTAATCCGCGTTCCACCTAAGGGCACGTTATTTTAAGCAGGATAGTTCCCTATAATGCACAGAAGGTAGCCATTGCCTCCTGAATTTAAGAATGACGTCAAATCGGGGAAGTGCAGCATGCAACACGCGTACGTCTGTTATTTTCAAAACGGTCAGCGTCACAATATTGTGTAAAAAGCTGAGGTCATCATGCAAAACAAAACGGAAAAGAGAAGCAATTTATACATGGCCAATAATACCACATAGATAATATCGCAAGCCTACTTCCTTCATGTGTAATAAAACGTTGCTGTTAAACTGGGAGAATTTTCGTCGGTTTGGTCTCTTGCTTTTGGTTTGGAGGCAACGAATTCATCTTCGAATCTTCTATTTCAACCATGTTTAATTCATATAATTTAGTGGGCTACAATTTTGCGTAAAGACGTCTCACATTACAAGTAAAAAACCCCAGTTTTTAAAAAAATTCAAAAAGTGTATCGATAGACTATACGATGTCATTTTGTTCACATTTAAAGACGAAACACAAAAGGATTTTCGTTGTTTGTTTTTAAATGTGAACAGAGAAACGACCTGTTTTAATTGTTTTTTATTTTTCCGTTTCAAATAGAAAAACGAGAAAAGACTTGGTTTTTCAATTTTGGTTTCACACGCTGAAAAACGAAAGATGACTTGTTTTTCAATTTGTTTTGTCTCTGTTTTGTTTGTTTGTTTTCAAATCGAAAAACGAATAAACGAAACGTACCGTACACTGGTGCCCTGAAATAGTGAACGGGAGGGAACCACTGCCTCCTTAAATGGAGCATGACATCAGGTCTAAAAGGTGCAGCATGGTACACGTCTATTATTTCATTCAGAAATGGGCAATAAAATTGCCCAAAAGATTGAAGATCAATATGCAGAAAAAAATGAGTAAATGTTTTAGGATGCTGTTGCACTTGGGCAAAGAGAAACAATTTCACCCAATTCGAGGTGAGTATCGCCAGTGCGCTTCCTACCAAAATATACGTTGCTTATTATATCGTGAGAATTTTTGCGAGTTGCTTCTCCTTCCGTACGCGCTGCATTGGAGGCAATGAATTCATTGTAATCCAGTATTTTAGCCACATTTAATTCACTCTAATCTAGCAGGCTACCATTTCGTATAAAGACACGTCTTACATTGCAAGGAACTGTTTTTAATTCATAAAAAAAATAATCTCACTGAAAAACTAGACACAAAATGATTGTCTTTTTTCGTTTTCATATATTAAACGAGAAACGATCCGTTTCACTTTTTTTCGTTTCAATGGAGAAAAGAGAGAAACGTCTCGTTTCTCGATTTTTCGTTTTCTTTTTCACATTGAAAAAAAAGACTTTCTATCAATTTGTGTTTTTCGTTTTCAAATCACAAAACGAAACGTACACGGACCATTCGAGTCCTGAAATCGGAAGCTTAACTTGTAATTTTGTTGATGGTATTTTAATTATGTGGTTCAAAACCTCACCAGAGTGAGATCTAGTTGTTCTTGTCGCCAGTGATAAGAGCTGTTGACTTCGAAACAGAGGTCTAGGGTTCGATTCTGCCTCACAGTCTTGTGGTATCTAAGATCTAGTTCCTTTTTTACATATGAAATTTTGTGACGGTTTATTGATTTGTTTTGCATGGAATTTGTCCCGTGTTCGCCGCCGTGATGCGCAACCGATGTGGATCTATCTCGCCGGCAAGCCCTTATATTCTTGTCACATAAGTGCGAAGATACTGTGCAGGAATGTGTACTCCGTAAATATTAATAACATAACATAACCTTGTGGGTTCAAAAGAATTTTTTAAATAGTTATTAGCGCACATAGTACCGGCTGATACCCCCGCATAATTAGATATTGTGTGCTCTTGAAAAACAGTCGAAAATGAACTTCCAGGGCCCGGGGGAGGTCAGACCTCGGTTGTCACTGCGGACAGGTGGACACATGGGTAAAGCACAAAATAAGAGCCCTTTACAGGATGCCATATTTTATTATTACTATTAGTGTCATTTATTACTATTTTTGTGTCCTTCCTGGATCCGCGGCTGAAAGTGCATTATTTGAAATTTATTTGATATTTTTAGAAATTTTGGCAAAATTTATAACCATATTGTATTTTTTAATGTCGCTTGAGGGCGCGTTTTAAGCAGATTGTCAAATCGCGGTTCGGTTTCGGATCGTATGCGCGTTGATATCGTGAGACAGATTCGAGTACTCGTCGTAAAACAAACTAGCAGTGAATGCAACATCTTTGCGATTAAAGATTTGCGCTGAACAGGTGTGTCATTAACTTAGACTGTGGGTAGTCCCGACTTCTAATATTTGGACACCTCAACCAACTTCTAACAAGGTGCGTATCAGCCCGAAATTACCTTTGCACTTAGCCCTGGTGGACTCCCTGACCGTCTGACCGTAGGCTTAATACGTTACGGAGGGAATGAAATGAAGTCATCGTCCAACTCCTTCCTCCATGTCCATGGTCCTACCTTGGAGGAAGGACACAGAAGGAGTTACAACTCTGGCACATCAAAGTGCTCGATGATCATCGCCGCCCAGTCAAACGAACAATAGTAAACATTCCAAAAATGCCTCATTACTGCGTTCAGCTTAGCCGGACAAGTGGGGCCAGTAATATAATATTGTAACAATATTTGTAAATTGTGGTGTTTTCTTTGGAATTAACTACAACCTATCGCAGTGACCAGGAAACAGACAGAAAAATAGGGGCCTATCTAACATTAGATTTACTTTTTTCGTTTTGGATAATTTTTTTAAGGATTTTGATGCCCTTTTCCAATATCCATGCATATGTTTGTTATTTTATTTTGTCACTCCAAAACATCAGTTTTTAAAGTTTTTGTACAAGTTTGGCAAAGACTGGCCAACAACATGTTGAACATCACAGGACAGTTAAGTTAACGAAAAACAAAATGCGCTGTTTCATCACAGGGAGTGATCATGAGATCTCATAAAATACTTTTTTGTGTAAATTCCGTAATAAAAATGATTCAAATAAAACTCAAAGCTTACAAACAGCTTGGCTATTTATTCCCAAAAGAAGTCCAGAAGAAAGCATTCGATAAGGGCAACAACTGCACATGAACACTTCGGGTACACAGCCTAATAAAAGCAACTGCGCAAGCACTAAATTTGATGTTGTTGTCAGATCATACCGAGCACCAACGACGGCATGAATATTCAATTTCCTATACTGCAGTACACAATGTTTTAGGAGGCAGATTACCAGCGAAAAATTGCGATGAGGATCATGGGGTATAAAAGGGGGCTTACGGTTGTGAGACAGGTGGTGTGTGGTGAGCATTTGCTGCACTCTGGCTATGGACATACCGGGCATGCCAGAAAGCAGTAATTGGCAAGATGTTATAACCAGGGCAGTTCAAACTCCTGTGTCCTTCCTCCATGGTCTAGTCTGGGATACCTTTGCACCCTAGTCAGATAGTGCTTGCCAATTAACACAGCTAAGGTCAATCACGGCAATTTAGCCAGGCTTAGAAAGATGTTGCTAGGCCTGCCCCCCCAAAAAAGTGGAAAATGTGAAATCTGAACCTGTGCAAATGTCTTATCACTGACCGCCTTTGGTAGTTGAAGACATAGGGGGCCCACTCAGATACAGGGTCAAAGTGAAGCATTCTATAATTTAAGATCAGAACTTGAACAATATTGCGCAACATATTTGCTGTAACAGACTATAATAAAATTTAATTAATAAATTAGCGTGCGTTCAAATGTCATTTTCCATCCACCCCCACAATCAACAATATTGAACATTTTTTCAATATCAACTCAAAATAAACTAGATTTTATGAGATTGAATACCTACAATCAATATTTTCATATCAAAAACAGGGTAACGATTGGTGAAAAATTGCAAATATGTTATGTACAATCACAATACAGGTTGCCATCTTGATTTTGGCATGTTACAACAGGGTCGAAAAAATGCACTTTTCTTTGGGATCCCCTCAACACCTCATTATCTCGCACGCACGTACACTGGCAGATTTGACCACTGCTGACCTTGGGCTTTTGCAGCATCACTAATACATGTACATGTATCCTCGGAAGTTGCAGCATGTAAAACTCTTGCATGTGTCGCTGGCGCAGAGTCATGAGAGAGTGCAATGAAACCCCATAGTCCTGATCGTGCTGATAGTTTCAAGAGTGTTGAACTTGAAGACACATAGGCCTGCCTGTATTTGTCACCCCTAGAATTCTGGGGTTCGTCGTCTGCCGCACATCCAAGGGGAACGCAGTGGACAACAAATCTCACACATTGCCAGAGTTCTATGAGTACGAGTACATAGGCCCTACGTGTGATGAAGTGGTGCTAGCACTGACTAGTCTGAGTAACTACATGTAGGAGTCTAGGACCCTGCTTCCGGAACTGTAAGGTTTTTACAAACCTTGCAGATAGTCATGTACAGTGAACCAGCTCAGTATTTCAAAAACCAAGGTCTTTCGGGAGCAAAGTGCCCGCGTGAGTCAGCGTATGGCTGTGTTGATATGACAGACTAACGCACACACAGGTAGCTGTTTCCCAAATAGGCCGAGCCTCTTTCTGGGCATGTCCTGTTGGAATACCGAACTGGCTCATTCACAAATTTTATATTTTGGCTGTTTTCAAAATTTACTCAGCCATCACAAATACTTGTGCAACCAAATTTTCTGCATCGCTTCTTGGTGAGCTTAGATGTCTGCCAGGGAGGTTTATTCCCTTGTATCTCATTAAAATGTTGAAATTGACGAGTATTTTGCCCATCCGTGCCACAAAAAAATTGTTAGCACGTACCCTATCAGTCGTTGTCAGCAGCATTAAAGCTTGACCAATCACAACACGGTTTCTATCTTTTCCGTGTTGTTTTCCTGTTAACCACAAATGAAAGCTGCGCTAAGATTGGTCATTGGCAAAGATGAAATTGGGCCAATCTAGGAATGTGTACATTTACCATTTCATTAGTTTTTTTTTGTTGGCCCATTGACGAGCAGTTCCACCCTTGAGCAATGAGTCGACGTGACAGTGGGGCCTCCTCCATCGCCAGCAGGCGGAGTAGGAGGTCCAACACAGGGGGAGGAGAGGGGGACAGCCAGCGGAGCAAGGAGGCCAAGTTCTTTGAGGAATGCCGGGTGGCCTACCTAGCGGTGCTAGATGACACACATCAAGATATCACATCCAGAAAACAGCTTGCATTAGGTGTGTGCTCTTCTGTACATGTAGAAAGGGGTTCATTTCCATGAAACAGTGGTTGAGAAACTAATTTCAAATAGGATCTAACGTCACTGGTGTCAAATTTCACTATTGTGGGCGAAATGTGTCGGAGTTGTGAGTTTCTCTGAGTATCCCAGGAATTTTTGCACTAAATTCATTAAATCTTCAGCATCATTGAGGCAATTCAAGGGTATTGGTGAATGATGTGGTGTCAAGGTAGGGCCTACTGTTTTTCTGCTATAATCAACTTTCAATTTGTTGTGTGTTCTTAATAGTGTTCCTTGACCTTAGTGCATGCAGCTCGTGTTCTTGCTGGGAGTGAATGATAGTTACTTCAAACACTTCAAATGCTCTTCAAGCCTCACTTGCTAATTTTGCATTGCGTACTTAGTGATCTTTCTTTTCTATTTAATAGTTCTTCAGCAGTCAGGTAGAAATCCTTCCCAAAAGACACTGGATAAATATTGGACTACAAAAACAAGTAAGTAGTTTCAGATAACGACCTGATGTAAATTGTGTTCATCATCATGTAATATCATGCAGCTCGGCATTTTGGACTGGATTTCTAACACCATTCCAAAACAGATTCTTTTCAGAATTGTATTTCTTAAGTTGGGCAAAATCTCAGCATAATTATGCCATCTGCATCACTTGCTGAAAATGCGCTGTCCACAAAGCAGGGGGAAAAGTGAACAAATAACATGGATTCATTCAGTCTACAGCAGATTTGGGGTGCGTTGTGATGTCATGTTTGCGTATAAATGGCTTTTTACTCGATAACCTTTGGAGTCTGGACCTATATTCTCATGGCATGATCACGTTTATGGCTGTGGCACTTTCCCCACTCGAACCTTTGTCACCTTTGCACTTCCACTTGATCCGTATCCATCCGTCTGCAAGAGATTTGTATCCTACTTGAAACACGGATCAACAATGACCCTGATCTCCCTCTCTAGGGTTGGTAACATTCTCTCTGCCACCCGTGATCCAGCAAATTGACTCAGGTAGAGGGACAGACACCTCCCAAATCCCTTTGGCTGACGCATAAATTTGCTCTGAATTACAGAGAAGCTGACGTACAATGAGATCTGCGACATTATGCGGAAGGAGAAGCCCACCACCACCAGTGACCTCCTCAATGCCTTCAAGAAGTTTGACATCAACGGTGACGGATTCATCACTCACGATGAGCTATCACGGGTACTCACCAAGGTAAAAATGGATACCCGAGCTAGCCTTAACTCATGCCACCCTTGACTCAAGTGTAGTGAAATGATCAGCGCTTTGTGAAACTTAGAATTGAGCCTGGAATTCAAGTCGGTGTGGTCTTAGTAAGCAGGCGTTTACTTGATGGTCAGGAATCTGAATATTTGGGACTCAGTAAAGCATAGGCTGAAGATTTGTGAAAAAAGATTGGGAATGGATACTGAGGACTCGCGAGAAAGGTTTAAACTCGGGACATAATTCGTATTGAAATGGCCATCTTAATTCAATGGCGGATGGTTAATAACTGTGTTTGGAAGTGACTTAGGTCGCGCTTTGTGTTTGATTCAAGCGAGGGGAGAAGATGACGTCGAAGGAGGTTGAGGCCATGATAGCGGAGGCCGACGATGACGGAGACCGGAAACTCAACTATAATGAGGTAACAACAAGGGGATGTCAACATGTCAGTACTTCCTACTGTGTAGTAACCTACTTGCTCCAAGGACCAGGCCCATAATTTTGTCAATCCGCATCAAGTTGATCCCAATTTTCTAATTTTGCTTGTTTGTTTCACACGGATCCAAATCTTGAATGATATCTGTTGCTGGTTCACTGACACCATGAACCGGCTGATGGATGGAGCGCACCAACGTTGGGACAACTGATTTAGAACCAGATCCGAAACAAAAAGGCCCTTAAAAGTGGTGTGAGCTGTACTGTGCAAAGAGGCGATACAATAGATTTGTCACTAGAATATATTGTGTGAAAAATTCGTTTCCTCCAATCAGTATAAATAAAATAACACTGTCCGCTTATAAAGCACTAAACTTATCCACCATGAGGGTGCTTAAGGCGCTGTTATTATATTGTCCCTGCACGTTGGTCTCAAAACATCTGAACATTCCTGAAACCATCTCAGCTCCCTGAGGAGCATACTAGCTGATGCTGCCATATATCAGGTGCACACGGCTAACATAACCATGTCTGCCCTCACAGGTACCCATTTACTCCTGGGTGGAGAGAGGCAAGGGATAAAGTGACTTGCCCAAGATCACAACATGCTGCCACCAGCTGGATTTGAATCCCTGACCCTATGATGAGAAGCTACAAAACCTAACCACCAGGCCACATGCCCCCATATTGAAACAGCAGGACAATTTTTTACTTTTCCGTTTCAATTTTTTTAAAAATTGTTTGTTCCTAGTGCTATTTTCTGACTGCTGAGTGTGATCTCATTAAAAGCATGTCACCTTTGGGTCATTCAACAAAATGACACACTCAAAATTTGCAGGTCAGAGTAGTCAATGTCAAACTCCTTTTGTAACATTCCGATCATCCACAGTTCTGCAAGATGCTGATGTCAACAACCAGCAAGTGTCGGCAGCTGTCCAAGGAGAAGGTGGACAAGAAGGTGACCAACGAGAGGAAGTCCAAGGAGAAGGAACAGCCTGCTGCCAGAAAAGGTGAAGGGGTTTGCGTTGTTAAAGCCTAGCACTCCCGAGATCTCTTCAAATCCATTTTTTTTATACAACCCAGGATCAAGAAAATAGACGCAGTGGGTGTCATTTGAATATGCAAGGAGTGCAGAGGATTGGGGGGGGGGATTCAGGCCATTTTTGGGTATAATACCCAGTGAGTTCTATTGCTAGTGGGGATGGACGGTTTGGATAGCCGTGACTTCCAGAAGTGGGTATTTTGGGTAGCCATGACTTCTAAGAGTTGGCAGTGTGTGGGTATTTTACAACGGGTTTTGCCCTTACCCAATATATGTATTTATAAACACTGTATTCTCAGTGCTTGTCCGAGAGCTTGCGAAAAAAAGGACTGAGAATACAGTGTTTATTAATACATACCTCGGGTAAGGGCAAAACCCGTTATAAATTAACATCTCCCCAATGCGAAATACATCTTGAAATGTTTGGGTAGCCATGACTTCAGGCGTGGACAGTTTTGGGAAGCCATGACTTCTAAGAGTGGGTGATGTTTGGGTAGCCATGACTTTCAGGCATGGAAGTTTTGGGTAGCCATGATTTCCAGGCATGGACAGTTTTGGGTAGCCATGACTTCCAGGCATGGACAGGTTTGGGTAGTCATGACTTCCAGGAATGGGCAATTTTGGGTAGTCATTGAAAACTTTTGGGTCATGGTGACTTAAGAGTGTCAAAGTTTGTTCAAGAAACCATACAGCATGTATTGTGTGTTACTGCTTATCAAGGGGGTCTGTATATATCTCTATAAACACATCATGGTGCGAGCTGATTGGCTATAGCACAGCATACATTTTGCCCGTCAGTAGAATTCGTAACTTCAGCCAATCAGATAACAGGAACTGCAAAACCAGCCAAGCCATCGCCATTAATCTGATTTGTGTTCCCATTTATCTTCCACCTGTCTAGAAACAAGCCCTGCCCCCCATCCACGGAAGCGAGCCTCCATTAACAAGACTCTCCCTCCAGTCACCAAGGTAGCGCCCAAGGCCACGGAGCCACGGAACCTCAAGACGTGGCACCAAGCTCGGCGGAAGGGCTGTTGCTTGTTTGAGGAGCATGGCAAGATCGTCGCGCACCAGTACGTCCTGGAGGTGTCCACGTCTACAGCCCTCTGGCTGACCGTGAAGCCCATGAACCTACACCCGGAAACAGGCGAGTCAGAGTCTGCTTTGACATGGGCAGTGTGTGCCAAAGAGCAAGGGTATTTTTGTTCAATTGAGCAACTAGACTGACAGTCTAGCTCATTCATCACTGGTCATAGAGCACACAGATGTAATTTTGCAAGTATTTTCGTGAGTGCGAGACATACAGTACAACTTAAGGTCAATTTACAAATCCTAGACTTGCTGTTTGTCATGGGGGGGGGGACTTATGTACACAGCAGATAGGTCCGGGCCCAATTTACATATTTGCTGGGTATTTTGTTTTGTGTGAGTGTCTCTTTTTTCTTCGGTTCTAAACGTGACCTTTTTGACCTTGTGTTTCCAGCATCTGACGGACCTCTTCCAGACATCCGCATTTACCTTGTGCGACAACGAGACGACGGAACTTTAGGAGACCTAGTGGCCTTCACAAACATGAAAAACCAACAGGTTTGTGACTGGACAAATTAAATAATAGAATCATGTCTAATGTTGTGGCAGCATTAATTTTCTTTTACCTTGAATGTCTGTGAAAAAAATTAAATTGTTTGTGGTATCTTGTTGACCAAGTACATGTACATCTGAGGTTGAATTCTTGACTGATTCGGGTGCTATGTCAGTTTTATTATTAGGAAAATTAAACACCTCAGCACCGTTGTGCCAGACCGTCGCAATTTCTAAACGGTGGCCACGGTTACAAGAGTAGGACCTTCCCACACTTGCATTGAGGACGTTACGCTTGCTTTTAGCATCCAAGCAAGTCGCCATGCTGGTATTTTCTTGTGCCAGATTAGTTGTCATTGGATACAGTTATTATCTTCTTTTTTGTCTCTCTTGTTTGTGATCAGAAATACTGTCTCCACCAAGAGTTGAAGGCGGGTTCCTACCGGCTGTTGCCCATGACAACGGGCTGTCGCTTCAAGCCGAGAGAGAGGCATCCCAAGAGCAAAGCGGAACTCACCAGGAAGGAGGGAGATGAGTATGTCATGCTGAAGCCATTCAGGTAAAAAGCTACATATCACAGTTTACGTTGATTTTCCACCTTGTATTTCTAAATCGGTCGAGGATGCTGTCATAGTCAGAGGTGACTTCACACCTCTTTGATATATTTCAGTCGAGTGGTTGTGCTGTGATGCTTTTAGGAGATTCCCACATCCTGCGGCTTGTCTTTTGTCGTCCCTTATGAATGTAAGGTCCAAAGCACTATTGAGACTCAGTTCTGTCCTTGGGCCCATGAGAACTAAATCTCCAAGCTTACCGGGTGGGACTTGAACCCGAGACCTGCTGCTTACTGGTCCAGATGTCCTACCTCTTGGCCACTGAGCTTGGCGAGGTCGTACTGGGCCAGATCGAATGTTGCTGAGGAGAGCTTAGAAAGTGGAATAGATTATGATGGAACTTGGACCATATCTTAGAATGTTCATGTGGGTCATTGAATAGCCTCCAACTGTGCCCTTTGATGCTCTTCCGATAGATAATGATTCAAAACATGTGGGTCAAGTTTCAAAGTATGTTTTCAGAAAGTCTTGAGTGAGTACACTAAAACTTGGAAAAAGGCCAGAAATGAGTTGGAAATTTGTGAGGCACTTTCAAAGGCAATTGAGAAATATAACAGGTTGATCTGTGGTTGAATTCAAAAGCTGATATAAAATACGGACAATTCACAATGCAGTGCACCTCGTCGTCGTCATGGAGAGGCCTTTCACATTGCATTATGGGATAGATGTAGACAACGCCTCATTTGCCTGCGCTGTGCGCGGAAAACTTGATTTTTTCCAAATGTTTGTTTACTGGTTGAAAATTTGAAACTGCTCATTGGGAATGGGTGTTGAGTAGTCAAAATGACGGTTTCGTGTGGTGGAGGAAGTGCCTTAATTAATCAATTATCTCCAAATTACATATAAAGTGCGCTTAATCGCAGCAGCATGTCAACCATAAACTGTAAGAGTGGCCTGTCTGTGGCAAAATATTGATGGCACGCTGCATTGCGGATATGAGTGTATTACATGTGTATAACCAGAATCTGTATGAATTGGCCCATTTGGCAAAGGAACAAGGTTCCTTGGTCGCCCACTGCAGTCAGCTGCTTTGTCAGAGACAGTGCCAGTATTTTTACCCCGTCACTTTTTTTCCTCCTTGGTTCCATCTCCATTGCCAGGAATGCCCTGGCAGACATTTTTGAGTTGGTGGATCTGGATGGCAACGGCACCTTGAGTAGGGAGGAGTTCAACGTCTTCCAGCTGAGGACCAGCGGGGAACAAGTTGACGACGATGCTTGGGAAGTTGTGGAAGGTTAGGGAACGTCGCAAACAAGGTTGGAGCATTCCTGTTCCCACTGTAATGCTCCTTTTTGGAAATCTATTCCTGGTGGGAATTCACTTTGTTCACGGTAGGAATTCACTGCATTCCAGGTGGGAATTCACCACATTCCTAGTGGGAATTCACCATGTTCCTGATGGGAATTCCATGCATTCCCGGTAGGAATTCAATGCATTCCTGGTGGGAAGAATACCAGTTGTGTAGTAGAGACCACGACAAACCAGCCTCAAGACCAGTCATAAGTAGCAGAAGGAACAAGGACAAATGAATGCTCTTTATTTTCTGACTTGAGTTCACACTGGAGGTCTTGTGTTGGCTTTGTAGGGTCATATAATGGTCTTAAGAAGTCTCCACTACAATACTGCGAAATATGTTGTGGATCCCTTTTGATTTGATTTGTAGAATTTTTTTTTTACTCTTAAACCTAAGCTTGAGAGTGGCTAAGGCGACCTGCCGACGTCAGACCCATTTCTTCAGGTTGGGCCTTATTTCTTCTTTCCCTGGTCTACCCCCCCCCCAAAAAAAATCCAGAAAACTTTGAGTTGAAGAAGGGCGAGCTGACAAGGAAAGGTTTTATGGACCTGAATCAGATGGAAGCCAACGACCTACAGGGGGACACCGATGACCTCTGGGTCACCCTACACTCCATGGGATTTGCAGATGACCTGAAGCTGGACGAGGTATGGATTACAGGCCAGTCGAGAATGATCCAATTATCAGCGACTTGCAAGTCATGTTTTGGTTAAATTGAAGAAAATTAGAATGCTTCCACTTTCAGCTCCCTAATATGAGTGTAAGCCCAATCTTTTTTTCTCTCTTTTTGTTATTGTGCAAGTTGGAATAAGTTTGTTGGTTCTATTTCACCCCCCCCTTACTGTCCTCTGTCCGAGTGTGTGTTGGTGCCGGTGAGATTTGAAGCTTTTCGTGGTGAAGATAGCAAGTAAACTTGCGGTAGCACCGTGATCCACGGATATAACATGCCAGCACCCTCCAGCCTCCACATCGATTGCAGGGAGTAATAGATGATAGCAGGGGCAAAGCATTTGCTCATCAAAAGATTACCGTTTATTATCCTGGCATTCCACAGGGTTTATGGCAGCTTGTCCAGGGCCCTAGTTCAAGGAGCTTCTTAACAATTAGTAAAAAAGTTGCGCTAACTTTGGCAGAAAAATTTGCTAACCGTAAGCACTATTTCATGGCAGTGTTTGGCCTGGTTGTGCTAGCAGCTGCACGCACATTGAGATTTTTCTTGTTACGCTGTTAAGTTTAAATAATCTTTTCTTTGAGGTTAGCATGCCTTAGGCTGTGCTAGCTACCTACAGTCTCCCTGAAATGCATTGAGCCTCTTTAAGCATGAGATCACGTGCTAAGCAGCACTGTGAAATTGGCCCAGTTAGCAGGTACATGCAGTGGCATGCAAGGTCTGACCTTGATCTTGATATTCCTTCTGATTTTTACAGGCCCTCCCATTCGTCCTGGATGCCTACACAGACAAGTGCAAGAGCCACATCAAGGCCCTCCCACTGCAGAGCGGTGGCTCCGCCCTGGAGAGGGCTGTGTGCGACTCCGTCATGAGTATCGGCAAGGACAGAGTAACGATAAAAGAGGCAGACAATGCGGTGATGCACTGCCTGGCGAGTGATGCCATTTTCTCTGTCTTGGTGGAAAACAAGGTATGATTCTCGACGTATTCTGTGTTTTGTACTTACTTTTTAGAAATAGCGGCGTGGTGAAAATTTGGACAGTTTCACCACAGGAAGCCATTTCTGGGAATCAACTACCTTGAAAGGGAATCCGCCTGGGTAGTACTAATTGTGAATGGATACCAATAGTGGTTGGTTGTTAATTTATTATTTCTGTTTGTACGGGTTTTGCTGGCTGCACTGATTAAAAAAAAATTACTGACTTAAAAAAAAATATAATAATGCCCTGCCTGCCACCGGTGCAGCTTTGACGACCTGGTAAAATTACTTCTGTGTAACTCTGGTTCTCATGCTGCTGGTGCCTCAAGCATAGGCAGTCCTGTGCCTGATGCATCTGCACCAATGTCAGTGAGGTGATACCAGGAGAGAAAGCCTTTCATTCTCCTGTTCCTCCTCTTGGCTGCAGTCCTCCAGCAAGTTCTCACTGAGGATGGACTGCGGGAAGAGCAGCAATTGTGAGAGCAGCCGGCGGGACCTGGATCACACCCTAGTCGTCCCTCCAAGAGCAGCCGTGGTGAGTCTCAAAATGAATTGGGTTTCCGGTTGAAATTGAGGGGAGTTGTCAGTGTTTATTGGTTGCCTTTGTCCAGTGTCAGAGACCATGGTAGGATTTTTTTTACCATAGCCTTCTAAATATGGAGGCGAAGCAGATTGAACTGGACTGGAATGTTATTGGTTTCTGCTTCACTTGATGGTATGATTAGCCCTAGGCCACTTGCATTGGACAGAAATGGATACCCCCCAAAAAAATACTTGAGGTTTTAATACAGAAGTGTATTGGATTTTGTCACTTTCGTAAGGCATAGAACAGGCAGTTTACTTCTTTGTGTTGAAGTCTTTGGCATAAATGTCTTCACTGCCTTCTCAAAGAGAATGCAGGGTTGCTACATACGAATTTCAACCGGTTGTGAAAACTCTAAAAGGGTTTAGACATGTCTTTGTGAGAGGGATCCCAAAACTGCAGATATCCTGACAGAGGATTACGTTGCGTCTTGCATCAACTGAAGCCCATCAACTGCCCCTGGGGACAAGATGGCTTATTCATTTACAAGCAGCTGTTGAGGTGGTCATAGCGTCTAGTCCCCCCGTTGTTGAATTTGTTTGAGTCCATACACCCCTTTACCACTCTTCCCGTCACAGGTCGGTCATCATTTGATGCCAGTGAAGGAATCGGAAGAATGGACCGTCAGGTGTACAGAGACGGTCATCACGTGATTGCACCTCTTCATATCCCAAGGCAATGATACCTACCTTCTGCAAGTCAAAGATCAAAAAAACTACTGAAAACCAAAACTTAGTGCTTTTTTTATGATGGTGTGCACGTCTTCAGTATCTCTAGATAGAATTATCAATCAAACACTTTGGAACTTTTACTTCGCTGTTTGGTCATTTTACCTGCGTGATTGACGGCCATGTTGCATCTCAGTTGATTTTCTGAGTTTAGCTCGCGATGAATACAATACCAAGCTGGACAAAAACATTTTCTGTCGAGTGTTGTGTGGTATTGCGATTGCTATTTTCAAAGAGCCGTTATATTTCTAGCATTTATAGTAGATAGTAGTGGTCACCTGAGCCAAACTGCATGTGTAAACTCTCTGTTGACATGTTAGTGTGTACAAAGTCACAAATTTCCACAAAAACCTTGTGAGATTCTCTCGCTGGGCCAGGTCGTGTCACTCGGAGTTTCTGTTTTGCTCCAGTCTTGTAAACACCTGAGCAATTTTCCCTTGTTTGCTGCTGTTGAAATAAGCACTGACCTTAAATATCACCCTCACCTGTAATAGCATTGATACGGAGCACATCACCATCTAGGTCTTTGTCAGGCTGTCTCCTCATCTCCAGTTTAAAGCCTTCTATACCCTCGGGGAGCTGAGATGGTCTCAGTTACCAGGGATAATAATATATTGGCATCTTGGAATAAGAAACTGTTCAGACACTGTGGTAAGTGCTTTGATGTTATCATTTAAGCCTGTTCTTTTTTCTAAAAAGTTTTAATCCCAAAGACAATGCCAAGGATTTACAGTGAGCATGTTGCCTAGTGGCTAGGGCTTGTAACTCTTTTGGGGGTTCACACCCAGCAGCTGATCCCAGGTTGGCCCAGGGCAAGTCACTTTGGTTCCACTTGCGTCTCTCCACTCAGGAGAATAAATGGGTACCTATGAGGTGGTGAACCTTACTTCAAAGACACGCACCCACACTTACGTCAAGTACCCCTTTGGACATTCCTTTGTTTTCATGCAGTTAAGAACATTCAGTGAAAATACTCGGTTTTCTTGAACTGGGAACACAATTTTCAGCTGGATTTTTGTAAAATGTTTCTTTGACTGTTCCTCTGCCCCAGTGTCCCTAGAGGACAAGATGTTGTCACAACATTGACATCGCTGTCACCAGCGTTCTGGTGTGTTCATTCAGCAAAGATAGATTATGTAAACTTGTTGCGCTATTGGCTCCTGAAGTGGTATATTTGTGAAATCCAAATCCTCTTTAAAAGTTATTTATTAGAGTACCTGTTGTATTCACGAGTGCTGCGTGTCCGTCCACAGAGTTCTGTAAATCTCAGTAATTTGTAGCTCCAGCTCCACGGCATGTGTGTAGCAAATTAGGCCAAGTATTCATGGTGCAATCACACCCGTCAGGTTGTTTTTAGAGAAATTTTAGTCTTTATGTCTGGCTAGACTAATGATAACTTAGGCTCAAGAAGAGGTAATGTTATGCAAGCTTTGTTTACTCTTTCTTCTCGCAAATGAATAAAAGCAAACATTTCTTCAGAAAAATAGTTTGCTTCGGCTCTCTAAACAATCTTTCAGTGGATTGAAAACCATTAATTTAATCAAAATCAGTTGAGCGTATTCCATCACTATCATCAAGCCAACTTTGTATGATTTCAGACCAATCATATTGTGTGTGTATACTTATATTTATTTTACGGTAAATAAAAGTAGAATGATTGAATAAACACTTGTCCTTCACTGCAGTAATTTAGGCTCTGCTACCCATAAAAATCATCTGTTTTTCCACAAAGTTGTAGGAACAAGAATCGACTCCTTCACATCTTAGGCGTGCAAAGACAGGATTTTTAAGCTGCCCTTGATTTTCAATATGCTTTGCATGTTTGCTAAGTTAGAGATAAAATGGTTCAAGTATTGCAGTCTACCAGGTAAAAGCAAAGTTATTGAAGCATATCAATCAATAAAATCATTAGCAGGAATTGTTTTCAAAAGCCGCTAATCTTTACTCGACGACTGAAATATCAGCTACAATGGTAAAAAAAAGGGACAAACTTTCCTGGCTCTTTGAGGATTAAGCTGCTCAAACGAAAAATTAAACGTAGGCTGGCATACCGTGAATAATTTCTAAATCTCATGGTGTGTTTTAACAATAAATCGGTATTAAAAAGAAGAAGTCAATAGCGAGCTCATTGAACTACAACCGGGATTAGGCAACGATCTCGTGAATTCGAGATGGTGGCGGCGGAACTTCGTTGGGTCCAATCGTCAGCGCAGACTGCAGCCGTATCACCTGATCCTCTGAGAGGGCGGAGTTGTGATAAACGCAAATCCAGCTTTCGTCTGATTGGACACAGAGAAATAAAGTTGATTATGGTATGAAATCGTTAATTTATTCTCTTCTTGTGCCTTATTTTCCCACTGCTACTGCATTTGTTCCTTTTTTTTGTCCATATTCATTTGGGGGGAGGGTTATGAAAAGGGTTAGGAAAAATGTATGGGTGATTGATAGTTCGACCGTTGGTACTCAGCACGACGAGTGGAGGCGCACTTTACGCAGCGAAGTACTCCCAGCGATATTCGTCAAAATTGAAATGAGAGTGACCATTACAACTCTGCAGCACGAATTATACTTGCGGCGATGTCCTAAATTTGCGCCCTCGGTAGCTTACGTACCAAAAAGTAATAAGAACAGACCTTTTTATATTCAATTCACGTTGTCGTCCAAATTTTCGTTTCACTCATTTATTTTTTCAGGCACAGTTTGTAATTAAGTTTAAGATTTGTTTTATTCTGGACGGTCGTAAGCAAAGCCAGTTCCAACTTGACGCAAGTCACAGTCGTTGCGACCAAATACGAACGCACTCAACTTTCTGTGAATTCGCCCGCCGCAAAACCGTTCTTTTTCTCTCGTGCATATGTACTTTGTACAGTATAGTCGTTTGGTCTATAGGAGTTTACATTTCATCAACATGTAATGGACCTTGTAAACGTTACTTTCAACTTGATATTTGTTCGTTTTCGTCCACATTGTGTATAAGAGAATTTCCGGTAACGACAACCTACCCTTTTGGATTTTGGAGCCGACTTGCACCAAGAGCCTGAGGCCGACGGCGTGGTCGATGTCAGCCCCTGCCACGATCCGTCCTGCTCCCATCTGCAGCGTTACCATGCCCAGCTCCATAGCATCTAGATCCTCCACATAACCTGCTCACAAACATGACAGCTAAATTGTTTTACATTTCAAACAAGAAATGATAAAATAATATTGAAATAATAATTATTATTTTTTAATCGTAACATTGAGGAGCAGGATCAATGCTTGTAAGTTGACTGATTTGAGTTAGCTGTAGGTTTAGTGGATTTCTATCTTGAATCTGTAATTCTTCAGGTCCCCGTGCATTATTTCCAAAGTGAAATTTTGTCAGCTTTTTTAACGAAGGAATCGACGCAGTAGGATAATCATTGCACACTAGCGCTGCTTCTTGGTACTGAATTTTTTTTACCAATTTTCCATGAAAACTTTACCGTCAGCGATCTTTCTTTTAATCGTCAGTGGCCCCATATAAAGACAGATTTTACTGTTCTTTAATGCAATTTTTGGAGAGTGATACACTTGACTAAGTTAAAATGTCCCTTAATATGGCCGTTCCACAATAGGGCGCCTCCAAGGGTTTGCAACGCGTTGGCCAATCACAACGCTCGAAATTTGTCGACCCTTTCCAAACGCGCTTGGGGTCGACAACTTTTGCGCATTGTAATTGGCCAACGCGTTGCAAACTCTTGGTGGCGCACTATTGTGAAACGGCCGTATTCAAGGCAGGAACAATTTCATCAAAAGGCCACGTGGTGAACACTACACGCAGTGTATGATGCATGGTGCTGAACTACTAGTGGCAAACTGGGCACCATTGATCACATCCGACGTATACTGCGTTGCTCTTAGCATAGGAAATGTTCCAGAACTCTACGTACCGCTACGTTTGGCTTTTAACTCCGTGGTGTACGTCGATCGTTTCAAGACCTTCCACGCATCATCCACAGAGTCCATGCGGTTTGTGCAAAGTCTCTCGGCGACCTCACTGCTCACTCCCTGGGACACTAACATGGCCTGAAATTTATGACAGGCTGAGCCATTTTGTAGGCTGTCGTTGATGGCACCGATGCCTTCGTCAGGAGTGCTGACTTTCCCACTGTTATAAAGCAGCTGTCCCCCTACAATAAACGGCGTTATCAGAACTTGAAAGTGTGGAAAAACGTGACGGCCACTGTACATCGTGTGCGTGTATGCCAAATGGGTTTTTCGATAATGTTTATTTCTACACCGTTTCATTGTGCATATTCATATAATCTTAAAACGTTTTTAGTGGAAAAGTTATTCGTGTATCCAGACGTTAATACAATTTCACATTTATTCTCTTTTTGTCAATTTTGTTTTGGGTTTACTGTATTATCTTGTGTACTATCGTATGTTTTTTTCCAAAACGACTGATTTTCCCCCTAAACGGCAGGGAATTTTTCCCCGATCCTTCAAAACCTGAGTAAAACACGCACACCAAAAGTTTCAAAGTGATTAGTCGTGGAGTAACCGATATCTTGTAGGCAGATTTTGCCCCGCCCCCTCCCCATGCAGCTAGCTGTGAGAAGATTTAGAGAAACAAACGGCCTTTTGTGGCAAAGTATCGTGCCAAATTTCTGTGAAACCGATATCTGGCCTAGAGTTCAACGAGGTTTGGAAAAGCGTCTCATAGGCGTCACTCACCTAGTTTGCATACGAGTTCCTTCAAGTCGTCGGGGCCGCCGCCCTGCAAACACTGTAAGGCCTCAGCGACTTCGAGTGCATTGCCTATGGCATTCCCGATTGGCGTGCTCATAGCAGTTAAAAAAGCCGTAGCCTTAACACCAAGATGATTGCTTGCAAAGACCTAATGGTAATAAGCATAGCCGTCATGATAAAATCCTTCGCCTTAACACCAAGATAGCTGCTGGCCAACGCCCAGTCTTGATGACTGTCAAACTGAAAGTCCACTGGTATTTTTACTTTACTGTTGGAAAGAGAAATCACGTAAATTAATCGAAGGTGAGAATTTCAAACTAGTAATAAAATCTAACGACTTAAAATTTCAGGCCGTTAGCACAGCGTAAGAGACTACAAAAGGCATTTGCACGGTGGTAACAGGGACGAGATCAAACCAACTTTACCAAACACATTTCCAACATGATGCGACCAGGCTATTTACAGTTGGCCAAAAATGGGAAGGCAGGAACTTTTTTCGTTTACCCCGACTGTGCTAAAATACCGACACCTTCCCCATAAAACTGCACATTACGGCGTATACCATGGATTCGGCCAGTTCTCGGCCCTCCTCAATCGTCCGCATGTGCGCAGCTCGGCCAACTTTGACATCAAGGACCAGAGAGTTGACCTTCTCGGCCGCTTTCTTGGAGACGATCGACGCTGTTGGTAAGAAAGCTTTCACCATTTACACACGTTGGCACGCTCGGTGTGCATCAGAAGATTATTCATAATATCGATTAATTATTCACCATTTTACAAGCAGCCGTTCTGGTTTATGGCTTATGGTTTATTAAAATTAAGTTTGTGAAAACGTCTGCAATTCAGTCCAATTCAGTTCAAATGCATGTACATGTATAATAGTCGCTAACATTTCAATTTTTCTCTATAATGTGGGCATTATGAAAAAGAGAAAAATCGTTGACTGCATTGATTTATTCTCTAACCATACCAAAAGTTACACCTTTTTGCATTTACCAGTGGTGTATTTTACTTAAACCGGTAAAAAGCAAAATGCACGCCATACCTGTTATGAGTGGCAGACTGCCCACTGTCGCAGTCACGTCTCTCGTAGCGTACAGCTTCTTATCGGCGGGAACGAGGTTGCTCGTCTGCCCTACAATACAACAGCCAACCTCTTTCAAGATCGTTGTCATCCTTTCCTTGGAAGCCATTACGTTGTAGCCAGGGATGGATTCCAGTTTGTCCAGTGTTCCACCTGTGTGTCCGAGCCCTCTGCCGGATATCATTGGTACCTTTCAGAGCAATTATAGAGTTGTTATCAGTTATTTTGTATATGAGGAAGTGAGTATTTTTGTCAATGATTATGCAATATAGTACGGTTACAGGCTACCATCAGAATACGACCCACGCCACAGTTGTGTCTTAAACTGGCGATCAACCAACATTAGCTATGTGCATCATAGTTTAATATGAAGTTTATATAATATAGTTTGCATTAATACGGGCGATAGTGAGCCTCCAAGGGCGTACTATTCGAAACCCCGTTCTCGTGTTAAGCGAACACAAGAACGAGGTTTCGAACAGGGAGAATCAACACGCGGACATTGTTCGCGAACGAGATTCTCACTCCCCACTTTCTGGGGAGTGGATGGAGAACATCCAGAACAAAGATGGCGGATATAGGCAGATACCGTAACTTCATGTTGGTTTTGTTACATAAAGTAGAAAACACAATAAGGAAAATAAAACCAGGAGAAATACTCATGGCTATTGGAGAGAATTTACCCTGATCATTTACATGTAATATGGATATTTGGGGATTTTATTTAACGTTAGACGGTAAATGTAATGTCATCTTTTCATTTGGTGTCAAAATGGCGACTGCTCTCTTGACCTTCAGCGCAGCTGCAGTGCAGCTGCACTCCTTTTGCACTCGGCGTTCGTAATCAACGACCCAAGAACACTGTTCGTGGGTTCCACGAGAATGGGGTTCAAGGGTGCGTTCAAGCGAGCCACTCGCGTTAACACGAGTACTCCCCCGAAGCGCACGAACTGCAGGAGTACGCTGCGCGGATCAGCGAGAGTATCCGGTTCGTAAGTGTGACGTCACTTCAGTTTAAACCACGCCCACTGCACACGTGCACTGCACATAGGGTTACATGCAATGGGTGCGTTCGATTAGCTTCCCTGAACACACCAGTGTTACACTCAAGGGAAGCCTCAAAATGAGGCTTATCGAACGCTGCAGTGTGTTTTCCAAGGCATTCTGGGACAAAGGTCAAGTCCCCGCCTCGTTCCATCATGTACGTCCATGCTCGAACAGTCCATCCGTGACGTCATTACACTCGAGCAGCCTCCAGAGACCCGCTCGCCAGCTGGGGTAGTGGTGGCTGACACCAGGGCAGACACGAACATCACGTGATGGCTAAACAAACGCTCTCGTGTAAGTTTGACTTACACGTGTAAGCTAATCGAACGCACCCATAGAGTACCAAAGTGGATACGTCACGCGCACAATTAGTGTGTAAAAGGCATTAGCGCGAGAACCAACACGCGAGCGTATTCCATTCGTTTGCACTGCACTTTCCGGTTCACAGTGATGTCACACTTCGGTACTTAATAGAGATCAGTGGATACTCCTGACCCGAGAGTAACGCGCTCGCATCCTCACTCGTGTTGAAAATAGTAACCGCGCGAATGCACTCCAAGAGTTTGCAACGCGTTGGCCAATCACAGTGCGCAAAATCTGTCGACACAATCCGCATTTGAAAAGGGTCGACAGATTTCACGCGTTGTGACTGGCCAACGCACTGCAAATTCTTGGGGGCGCACTACTGTGAATCGCCCGTATTATAGTATGCTTCCGCTCATTCTATTATGTTATTGCACCCTGCTTCCCTAAAGCACTTTTTTGACGTATTTCAGTACCAAAAGGTCTTACTTTTGCAAGGTTGGAATGACATTCACCCTGTGTTGGCCCACGTTATGTCTGCACGGTAATTTGAATGATAAACACACCAAGAGCCTTTAGAATTTTTCATTATTATATGAAGAAGAAACCATTAGGCCTATGAAGTAGGGCCTATGATCATTTTTATGCAAGAACATTGAGCATGTATTTCTCACAGCCCCTCTAACGCATTCCCGCGACATTATACGTCCGAGAACATGCCAACACATGAGCATTAGCCAAAGTTGGTTGAACACTGAGGAATAGCGTCACAGGGTGTTTTGTGAGTATCATTTATGGTAACTTCGATTAACGTATTTCAACCCAACCTTCATGCCACAGGCAGCGAGTGCCGGGGCCAGTGGCAGGCTGACCTTATCCCCTATCCCGCCTGTCGAGTGCTTGTCCACCAAGCTCTCTTGCCACTCGGTTGGCCAGTCCAACACCTCGCCGCTATCTCTCATGGTCTCGGTGAGGGCCAGCGTCTCGGACTTTGAGAGCCCCTTCAGATAAATGGCCATCAGCAACGCGCCTGAATAGAATCAGAGTTCGTGTTGAACTTTACAATATTGTTGTCAACTTTGGAGCCAAACAAGAATTAATAGACGTTCTTCAGTCTAGTTACACCTCTACCTCCCCCCAAATTGCAAGGACTTTCTCTTTAGGTAAAGCATGCCTGCCAACGGTAGCCTCTGGGTTGTATTTAATCTGTTTTGCTCTTAGCCGACGGCCTTTTTGTACTGTAACTACATGCGGTTCATTAGACGGCCTCGCTTTCAAGTCATCAATTCACTTTACCTCTTCCAACCTTCACCAGCTGACGTGCATCACAAAGGACTCTGACAGTTCAGAACTTGGCGACCTATTTTCAGACCCACTCGAACTGAATTTACCACACCAGGGCGTTTTGCGACCAGAGCGAGGGTATTATTTTTGTCACTTTTCCAGCTTCGCACATGGATTTGTAATCGTTTAGTCCTCTGTATTTTTCGCATTAACATTTCCGTGGGACGGTCCACGGCCGTTGTAGGCACGTGCCATGCTACGGGGATCGGGACAGGTCCAGGATTTTTTGCAATGGGGTTCGCAAAAATTTTGCATGGGAGGGGGCTTACTGTATTTTTTAACATTGTGAAAGCCATTAATCCATTTGTTTTGACCTTAACTGAGGAAGCGAATAAGACCCCCACGGGGTTTATGCTTTTTAGGGGCTTGCAACCTTTACACGAGGGCCGCTAGTAAAAAAAAAAGCAATGCGGGGGCGGGGAGGGTCGACCCGTAACAATTCGAAATCCCCCCCCCCCAAAAAAAAAGACTCGGTATTTTCTACATTTCGTAGTTCTGGGCCATTGTGTTCTGTAATGCCTTTACAGGTGTCAGCACACAAGACCAATGACTCTTGAATGCCAAGATTCGGTTTCGATTTTGTCCTCGTGGCTACTAGGACAAACTGCGTGCAGCAAAGCATGCAGTCGTGCAAATATTGAAAAATCTGGATTGCCCGCACTGCATGAAACGCCATTTTGAATTCATGCTTTCAAATCATCGTGTCAAGTGAAGGAAGGATATTCTTTGAGGAAAATGTTGTTTTGTTTATAAGGGAAGATAGTAAACACACCTACAGCCCAGGTCTATAGTTTTAACAGATAAAAGTGTTATGACAATTGAGCAACGTCAGTGCATGACGACTCATGCAGAGATCTACTTCACCGCTATCAGGAAACTGCACTAACCCTATTGTGCGGGTATACACATGGAGGAAGGAACAGTCAACCACAGTGTACCGTCTTGGAAATGGCAAGGTTTTGATGTTTCACTCTCTGGGAGCGGAAGTGTTACCATCACCACTTCCCACCCTTTGCATTAAAAGCACAATTACCGTCCCTATTTTTTCCATCATCCCGTTTTTTTTTTCTGGCTGAATGACCCACCCTAGCGTATTTTAGAATCGGTGCCTCACCTCCACGTACTGCTTTAAGTCTTTCAATAGTGACTGAAAACACGTGCAAAGTACATTAGATAACATTCAAGCTGATCAGAATTATTTTCTGGTGTACCATCACTGAAAATCAAATTTTCCGGCGGGGTGAGCCATTGATAAGGATATTTACACTCGTATGCTACGAGCGCTAGAGGTTTGCAGAACTCAGTTCGGGCTATGACACGACAGCATTCGCATCATGAAGCCCATATGTACTGTATACCACATTAATGGCAAGCGCACGACCGTATGTGAAGTAGCGCAAGGTTACTGCGGTCGCAGAAAGACGTTGCGGGGCGTAGCGGTCTGCCATTAAAGGTGGAAAGTGTTGAAATTTTTGAAAAATAAAAATATCAAATACCAAAATAAATACATAAATAAAAAATCAGGGCGGGAGGAAGAATCGAGGGCTGGGTGAAAATAAGCAATTAATTCGATCAGCCTAATCATTGTTATCACGTTCAAGAGTCTATGCTGTATCCATGAAAAAGCCAGCTGCTTAACTGTTGACTATGATGCAGTTTTGGACCTGTTTTTCCCACTGGATCACTCCATTATCGAATTACTCCATATCGAATGTATCCCGATGATCCTGGAAAACAGGCTTTGTTCTTATTCCTCCATGGTCATAGTATCGGATAGACTCAGGTAAGCCTTTTGCGCATTAAATATCCAAGAACAGCCTCCAAGGTAAACAAGAATCCATGAGCGTTCTACTGTGACGATTGAAAGAAAAACGATCCACAAACATGACTTAGAATTAGCGTATAAGTTATTTCACAACTCTGAATTTGTGAGCGACTATTGTATTTTTTAAAAGTTATAAACAGTTCGTTTTATGTAACTTAAAAAATATAAGTTGACGTTTCGTAAACTTATTTACCGAACTTGGTTCAGCCAATAAGAGCTCAGTGTTGATGGCACCACCCCGACTCTCCATCCCCGGCCCCTTGACTAGAACTAAGTTAGTTTTCAACGACAGGCCTACAGGTAATTAAAATAACTCTCCCGTCCCTGGTCTACCTATTTGGCTGTCGTCCACGTCACTGCCGTGTAGCATGTTGGCTATAAACCACTTGATCTGCGCCGGGGATAGTTCACCACCATCCCGTTTCTGGGCTATGATGTCCGGCATACGATGAGTGCATTCCTCCGCCATTGTGTTCCTCTCACTACAGCAACAAGTGTGTATAGCTACGTCGGCGCGATATGCACGGCCGTATTACAACAAAGCATGCAAAGGCACGCCCCCACTGGCGGTCAAGTTGTAGGATGTCTGTGTGAATTGCTAGTGTTGACGGCGTAATGATCGTCCTGCAATGCGTGACCCTCCGCAGCCGTCTCCTTGAAACTTGCAAAACAGGTGTACGACGCGTGCATGTACATGTACATGTATGTTTGACACGCCACAGTACAGGATGGAACAGTTATCGATCTGAATATGCAATCACGCAATTTACGAGCGGCTAAGGAATAGCATGGAGAAATAAAACACAGGGAGTTCGAACGGCCCGCCAAGCCCCTACAGGGTATTTATTGACCAATTAGCGACCCAGGCTGACCAGCGGTAAAGCCATGGAGACCTCCTGCTGCGCGATGACCACTTGGCAGATTTACGACCGCGATAAGACCGCTTTGAGCACAAGGTCTGGTACCGCGTTGGTCTGCTCACTGGAGAAATGAATTGTTCGCACTTTTTTTTAGCCAACTCATCACGAACAAGCGAATGAACACAAATCGCATGCGCAGTAGACCCGGGTACGTGGCATGACTCGGCATTTTTCTCCTTGCGATGCGCCTTGAAATTCTGAGCCTTCTGGTCTTTAGTTCATCGAAATCCATCATTCAGAGGGTAAGTTACTCCTAGTTTCATGGGACAGTTTTTAGGATATATATCCGAAAATAGGTGTGCATATTTTTCTGATTTTGAGACATTTTGGCCAACTTTGGCCAGTTACAAATCGTATGTTTCGCTCAAGGTTCGTCTTGCCGACCCATTCGTATATGTCATATCGTTGTGCGGTGTGGTGCGTCTTCGTTGTTGGCTTTTTAAACTTGGACTTTTTTCAACGGTTTTTTTTTTCAGTCAGGCTTGGAGGAAAAGCACATACCAGGGCATGAATGCCATGACCGGAGAATGGTTGGGGCGACGATTGTACCGTTAAAAATCGATTTTTGAGCCAAAGTTTAGTTCTTCAATTTCACACGCATGCCGTGATTTAACAGTTAAACACCTGCAATCAGGTGTGCTATATTTCTGTGCACTTCGATTAAAAATCATCATGTAATCCTAATGCCATACATTTCTGGATGAGAGATTGTGAATCAGGAACTTATAGATCCCTAGCAAGATGAAATTTTCTGTCAAACAAGATGTACTGATTCCTTGTTATTGTTTTGTTTTTTTTAGTTTTTGATTTAAAGTATATGTTCACATCATGCATGGATGAATAAAAAATACAAGCACAATTGTACAAACATTTCTGAAAATCCACATTTCTACTGAAGTTAAAAAATAATCAACTAATCCAAATTTTTATTTTGGTTTGATAATGTTGTCAAAAATTAGTTTTTTCTTGTTTTAACTTGGCGAGGCCCAGTTGTTTTATTGAGTTTGAAACTCTTTAAACATTTATTTTTTTTTATTCAGTACATGCAGTAATTCAGAACATAAGTACTGTCTCCTCGAAACAAAATTACTTTCTGGTACATGGCTTGCTTGGTGCGGATTGATTTTATTTTTAAGTAATTTTTTATTGTGGAATACAACAAAGTGCTGCTGATACAGATATACTGTTTTATTCCTCCATGGTTTAATACAAACAATGGAAAAAATCCAAAGCAACTCAAATTCATATTATTTAACACCCTGAAACATTGTGTTCAAGCATGGAGGAATAATGTATTTTATTCCTCCATCGTTCAAGATACCATAAAGAGCTCTGTACACTTCACAGTAATCTGTCATGCTTGTACATGAGTGTACATGTACTTATGAGCCCTTCTTTTCTTTATACCTTCTAGGTCATTCGTTGCCATTCGTTCGTGCTGTTACATTTTGAGAGTAGAGTGTTTTGGAGGCTGTTTGTGATGAGTGTCAGCCTTGTGCTGACAAGGCCCATTCAGTGTAGCAATATGTCTGATAGTCACCGACATTGCTTAGAGTTGCTGTGTAGATTGTGTGGAAAAGAAAGAGCAATTCCAGATGACCGCAACCCAATATGTAAAGCACGTCTATCCCAGCTTATCATGGCTTCATTTGGCATCGATGTTGAGGATGACAATCCTGATGTACATCCGCCATTCATTTGTAAAGCTTGTGATGTGAGGCTGAAGAGATGGTGGGCTACCTCCAAAAAACGAGGAAAGGGCAAATCCCCTTGTGCCATTCAAGTGGCTGTGTTTGATGGTTCAAGCTGCCTGAAGTGTAGAACTGCAACTTCACCTGCCACATTGACCATTCAGGAGATGAAGAATGATGGAGAGAGATGTGGGCTGTTGGTGTGGGAGGGGGCAGACTGGTTGCAGTTCATGAAAATGTCACGTCAGGGCCGGCCAGTTTTGTACCTCAGAATCTTCCGAGATTTAACGTGGCAGTTGGAGGTGTCAGGGGTACTTGCTGTTCATGCTGAGGTATGCCCAGATGTTCCAAGCACACTTGATAAGGAGGGATTGTCCACACTTCTGCAGAAGATTACATCAACACAGGTGTGTGGAGGAAATGCAGATTTCCAAGATCTGATCCAGCTGTTCAGTGTCGAAGGCCAAGTCCCCACCAGCATAACCCCCCAAGATATCTTATCCGAAGGTACCATTAGGCACAAAAAATGCCGACTACTTTGTGGCAAGTTGAGGTGCAGTGTCTGCCAAATATACCGCAGTGAGCTGCTGAAAGTACAGAGCCGTCAGAGAGTAAGACTAACACAGGCTGTTTCGGTTTCTTCATCGGTGCCAAACAAGACCTTAACACCAATACAGCTGAGGGAGAAAGTTGCTGTCTTACAGATGGAAAGACGGGCCTTGAAGCGACAGGCTAACACTCTAAGGGATAGAGTGGCTGATTTCATTTCTAAAGAGAGTGTGATTCTTGACCAGGCGCAAGATGCACCTTTGCGAGAAATCATCCTTGGGAGTGGCAAGGAGGTGAGCGATGTTCTTGGAGAAGATACGCCAGCAGGTCTGCTATGGGCACAACAAAAGGAAGCTGCTGTGAAGGGTAAGCAGATGAGATGGCACCCTGCTATCATCCGATGGTGCATTGCCCTTCACAGCAAATCTTCGTCAGGGTACAACATTCTTCGTCAGACAGGATTCATGAAGCTCCCACATCCCAGCACATTATATGCCTACACGCACTTTGCCGAGCCTACAACAGGATTCAATGCAGCAATGCTACAGAGAATTGTTGATGAAACGAAGTGTTGCCCTGAACATGAGAGGAATGTTTCAATGCTCTTTGATGAGATGAAGGTAAAATCTGGACTGTGCTTTTCCGTCAGATCGGGCAGAGTAGTGGGTTTTATAGATGTCACAAGTATTGCTAATGAGGTCGCAGACTTTGAACGGAGGTGCAGAGGTGAAGGTGATCCAGAAATTGCAACACATGTTCTGGTTCTGATGCTGCGAGGTATCTTTTCATCGCTTCATGCTCCGGTTGGCTATTATCCAACCACAGGTGTGACCAGTGACCAACTTTATGCCTGCCTGTATGAGGCCATCCTGTATGTAGAGACAGCTGGTTTCAAAGTTCGAGCATTGGTCTCGGATGGAGCTTCACCAAACCGGAAATTCTATCGCATCCATGCTGATAAATGCAGCCAATCTAACCCTACATATTCAACAACCAACCCCTTTGACCCATCTCGAGATATCTACTTTGTTTGTGATGTGCCCCACCTGATCAAGACGACCAGAAATAACTGGGAAAACTCAGGCTGGCACAACAAGACCAAGAATCTCTTCGTAAGTTTAATGTTTTAAAAGAGCTCAAAATTTGCTTTTCAGTAGTACCACATGAAATGTGATCACATGCATGTACGTGTAAAATGTAAATATTAAATTGCAAGTCTCACCTTGTTAGTGTTAACACTCTTAAAAGAACAATATGCTTATGGCATCTTGGATCCCAGCCCTTTAAAAATTGTTTTCATTGCTTGAACAATGGTTCAAGGTATAAGAATATTCAAATATTAGTCCCATACACATGTGTGCATGTTAGGAAAAATGCGAAATCATTTTAGGGTTAAATTCCTTCTGACAAGTGTGAATTAATTTGTCTTTTTGTCATTTTTTGTCCATTAGTTCAACAAGCAAGAAGTGACTTGGCCACAACTACTACATCTATATGAGTTGGATACCGGCCTTGACAGATGCTCCCCTGGGTTGCGACGCCTGCATAAAATATCCTATGAGCATCTACACCTTACACCAGCTTTGAGGATGCGTGTATACATGGCCGCACAGGTTGGCGTTGTATTTGCTTCATGTACATTTATATGAAAATGAAGGTGTCCCTCACCGCTAAGTGTATGTGTGTAGATTTTTGGCTTATTTATCATTGAAGTCAATATATGGATCAGACTGGCCTAGCATTTCCATTTTAATCAGGAAATTTCATAAACCCAGAATAAAATATTTGTATTCATCATATTAAAAGTCTACATTAGCATTAAAGAAACCCCGAATCAGGTACGGATCCGGGATCCCTGGACTCCCCCCCCCCAAGGAAATTCATTAAAGAAAAGATGATACCATAACAAGAGTTATTTTTGATAAGCATCCTGGCAAAGTTGTAATGCATTACCTTCAAGTATGTGTCCAAGTATGCCTATGATTTGCCTGACTTGCCACTGCTTTTGCCCATTGCCTATGTGATTTCAATTCCATGCCTTGGTTTTTCCAAAATTTGGACATTTTTTTCTGATACAGGTGCTGAGTAGCACTGTGGCCAATGCTTTCCAGTGCCACGGGAAGGTTGGAACAGCATCTACTGTGAAATTTGTCACCATGTTCGATCAGTTCTTCGATTGTCTTAATGTATCAAATACCTATAAGGGGGTACACTCAAGAAAGCCTGCTCTGGAACCCTACAAGACTGTTGATGATTGGCGCTTTGATGTAAGCTTGATTTCATATCAAATAAAACATTAGTTTAAGTTGTTTGAAATGAAGTTGTTACCTGCACAAATAAACCTTTTGTTAGAAAAATGTGGAACACTGCTTATCCTGTGCATTCATAATTTAAGTATTTTGGTGACAAATTTAAAGGTGAATGATCTTTTACATATACTTATTGAAATGTAGGCCATCAATTCAGACTGGTATGTAAGGCATGTCTGCCCCTAAAAGCTGTTCAGCATAGTTATTTCTCCATATCTTAAATCACTTCATGCTATTTTGTTCACAGTGGCTCAAGGAAGATTTCTTGGGCTTCCTGAGGGAGTGGGAAGAGGAGGTGCAGTCGAAGCAACAACTGGACAAAGCCACCAAAAAGAAGATGACACTCAGCAGAGAAACAGTGGAAGGCATTAAGATCACAGGTAATCAGAATTTAAGTACATTTTGTTCATTTTATTTTTTTCAATAATGTTTCTGGAGACATCGGGGGGGGGGCATTTTCATTTCTTAAAACACCTCACAACAATTTCACACTAATCAGCATCACAAGTGTTGCCCTGAAATCTATTTTAGAACATTGCAAAACTGATGGTAGCATAGTTGGAGAGTGTATTGACTTTGATAAGGTTGCGTTCAGATACACTGTACATTTTATATTTGTTGCACATAATCATCACCATTGTAATATGAACGCTTCAATGAGAATGAGCTGCAAAAATCTAGTGGCTGAATGTCATTTTCAATTTAACCCAAATTTCCTGCCTAAAAATTCCTCCTGTTATTTCCTTTTACATTCCATTTCATGTTCAGTGCATTCCTTTGTGGAGCTGGGGAAACATCTACTCAAGCAACCTGGGGTGCAGTATCTGCTCAGTGAGAAATTCTGCCAAGATCCACTAGAGGAGTATTTTAGTAAACAGCGTGGTGCTGGGGGTTCAAACGAGAATCCATCTGTTGAACAGTTTGGGCACAATATGCTAGCCTTACATGTTGCTCAGGGATGTGTGAAGGCATCACGGAGAGGAAACTGTCGTCTCCGAGACAGGGAAGACAGTTCCAGCATCATGGATAGTACTCCACTTCCCCGTCGCAAATAATCGAATGACTTCAGTTTGATCATGTTATGGAGCACATGTAAAGTATAAGTGCAGGCCTCCATTTTTCATGTGTAAAGAATCATCAGCATTTGTTGGTGTCAATTGGTTTGAAAATTAGTGTCATATACTTTCTCAATACTCCTTTGGGGCTTACCTCATTGCAATAACTTAAGCTGTCACCATTTCTGTGCACTGAGTTTAGTTGTCAAGGTGCATGTTTGTGCACAAAGTGATACATTTTCAGTGTGATACCTGTTGTTGAAGTTAAATTTGCCACCCTTACTAGCTGCCAAGAAAAATAGCTTACAAGTGCAATTAATTTGATTTTGATTTTCTCCCAGTCTGGATTTATTAAAGCGAGGCATTGGAATTGAAATATTGCCCATAAAGACTGGCAGAGTACATGTACATATGTAATGAAAATGTCTACAAAGCATTTCATGTAAGTTCACATTCAGATCATGAGCACTGTCTTTATTTACAACTTGAAGATCCTTGTGGCACATACTTACAGGTAAACTCCAGGAGAAAAAGGAGATGGGGACTTTGACTTATTGACAGGTGGGAAAATAATTTGATTCTTGAAAAGCAAGATTTGATTAGTTTATGTGAGGAAACGCTTAAATTTGTACTTGGATTATTTGTGTGCACAAATATCGAAAGATGAAAACAAACTACGTGTACCATTTCTTGCAGTTATATGTAAACTGTACACATTATAGGATATCCTTACAACAACTTGCACTGACTTGATAGGTTACCCATGAGGACAGTCCTTATCCATAATTACATTTGTTTGCAATGTATACTTTTTTTAGATTTACTGTGTGTACCGTGAAAGTACAGGGTCCATGGAAAGAGCATTTTTACGATAATTGGATTTGCCTGTAATGTTAAAGTGCCTTAGGAAATCATAGGTCCTTTCGAAGGGCCTTTTCTGATTTCTTGGAAACATGTGCACCTGATGCTTTCTTCAGACTAAGATAAACATTTAAAAAAGATTTAGTCCTAATCTTTATCCATTTCTTAATAACTATATTCAAAAGCTTGTCTGAATTTGCTCCGCTAATTTTACCCTGAGTTAGGCTACACCAGTAGGTTTGTACTCTGGGATGTGCCTGTATCTGATCAATGACCAGAGATTGTATGTTACACCGAGGAAATATTTCCAAATTAGCTATCGACAATATTTTTCTGGTCTGTATCTCCATTGTTCTGAACAGTAAATAAACTCCATCTGATACATGAAATAACCCACCTCTATTCTGAGCTTTAACCCACTGGTTTGTATATTCAAGAAATGTTTTTGCTGTATCTGAGGGACAGGCTTGCCATGACTTTAGGAAATGACAAAATATTTTTGCCGAGGTATTAATCTGCCTGTTAAATTGTTTGTACAGGGAATACGGCACGTAACCAGCTACGTAGCGTAGTACTTGTTCTTCTTCTTTTGAAATGGTTTTTGTGTCTACATCTGATATCTGTTTACGTGGCAAGTCGAACTCGTTTCTGTCTTTAAGCATTAATTCTACAACAGCCTGTAAAAGATACTGATATGCAATATGTGTATGCTGTCCATCACTGTACAAGTTTAAAGATACTAAAAACGACTTCCATTTCTCAATGCTATTTAAACGGAATTTATGGAAACAATGCCACATCAGTTCATAACTTTCTGGCTTCAGTTTCTTCTTATCTCCTGCAGTCACCACTATCCACAGGCTGCTTACTGTAGCAGTGCAAAAGTCTTTAAACTCCTGCGACTCACTTGCCGTAGACAAATTCACGATGAGACTCATGAGGCACATGGCAATGGGATAGTTGGAACAGAAGACAGGATGCTTCTTCACCCTCTCAAATGCAGCCAGAAAGTACTCTGAAGCCCGTTGCTGAGCATCTCCGACTTGAAATCGTGGTTTAGGACGCTCAGGAGCTGCTGTAGAGGAAACAAACTCTGTTTGAACAACAAAATATATATAACGTAAGATAAACAGAAATACTGCCTCCACTGAAAACTAGCTGGTTATGCAAATCCAACACCATATACTTATGTTTAGTTTGCTGTCATGGTATGAAGATCATTTTAATTACGTATATCATTATCTTTGAATTTCACAGCATAAAACTATTTCAAAATGGATAGCCCAATGAAAACTTTCGACTTTGGAATAACTTACCTGGTTTTGGCATTGACTTCTCCTTATGATCCTTACTGGCCTTGTCTGATCGGTCTGTAGACTTCTGGGACTTTCCAGCTTTTTTGGAAGATACTGCTACTGATGAACTTGCTGAAGCAGGAAAAACCTCATTCTGATCTGTAAACAAAAAATCTGTTATTGTAAACGACGAGATTAACACTTAAAAACAATCACCCCCTGTTAAGCATGCCAATAGTACTTTGGGATTTAATTCTATGAAGAAAGAAATTTTTTCAAAATTCTACGTGAAAAGGGTCCCCAAATTTGTTTTTATACACAGGTGATTGGATATACAGTACGTGACCCAGCACATCTAAACCATGAATAAGTCTCAAATTGATAGTTAACAAAAAATACCTTTATCTTCAACTTTAATGGTCGTTTTTAAATTAAATACTTTAATGGTGGTAATATTTTATACATAGATACTTAATAATGAAATACTTATTCGACTTATTCCTGATTACGATGTGCCCGGCCACATGTGATAATTGGCTCAAAATGTAGAACCCAAAGATAACTTCCAACTTTGGAATGACTTGGGCCTACCTGGTTTCGGTATTGACTTCTGTTGATCTTGACTGGCCTTGTTTATTTTGCCTGTTGATACCTGAGACTTTCTAGCCTTTTTGGAAGATCCTGCTTCTGATGAACTTGCCAAGGCAGGAAGATCCTCACTCTGTCTCTGATCTGTAAAAAGAAAAAAATAATGGAAACTAAGGGCCAAACATGACAAATCAAAAAAATTTCACAAAGGGGAAGCCCTTCCACGAGCACTTAGTGGATTTAATTCTCCCATAAAATTATTAAAGGAAAACAAAAATTAAGGAATTATTTTAAAATAATATGGCAACTTTTTATCATACACAGGTGATATTTTCATTTCTCCATCAGGTCCATATATCAGCATGGCTAAACCTAACTTGCACATGTACCTTGCACAGTCGTCACTCGATGACAGAGGAGCTGAGTTTAATTGTTATTTTATGCATGGAGGATGAGTTTTATTCCTCCATGTTTTATGGTTATGATTACCGAGAAATATCATAAGACATGCACTGATCTCACAGCCTACCTTGCGATCCAGAGCTTGTAGAAGGACGGCAACGTGAGCAAATCCAAGACCCATCCGGAATGTCGCTCGGTGACACGCCAGCGCAAACGTAATGCCACCACACAACTGTGCATTGATCGTCATCACAGGCAATCATTTCAGTTGTAGATGGTCTTCCACATATGCAGTACTGGCAGCCATCGTCTTCTGATTCACTACTGTTTCCTGACAAGTCATTTACTTGAAAATCGTCTTCCGAAATATCACTAAAATCGCTCAAATCTGACCCGGTTACGAAGTCATCTTTGCCGTAGTAGGACGCCATTTTGTAGGAGTACACGGCGCAAATGCCCGGATGTTAATGACGTATGCCATTAACTCGCTAGTACGCACGCGCACACAGCTGAGGTTCCCCCACTGCTTTGCGGTTGGTATTTGCTGGAGGGTGTTTACTGTCAATTAGCGACTGCTGTTTTTACGACTGCGGTACCAGACCCTTAACGTTTGATCTCAGGGCCGTTCGAACTCCCTGTGTTTTATTTCTCCATGCTTGTATATGTATGGTGTAATGGCTCGAGTAAAATTGTGTCATTTTTTGTATGCAGTGCTAAACATGAGCAGACATGACTTCTTGGTGTTTTGAGTACTGTAAGGATACAGGAAAATGCATTGTTTGAGTGAACAAGCTTGAGTTTGCATTGTGGCTCAATTGGAACACATAGCTTTTATGGCTACAGTGTGATACATATATGTGTATCTGTCATCATTAGTTTGGTATCACATGGCTTTTATGGCTACAGTGTGATACATGTATGTGTATCTGTCATCATTAGTTTGGTATCACATTTTCATTAAATGGACCCTATCGGTGCTACATCATCATATTAAGCTAACTGAATTATGAACTATTAGCTTTTCCCATAATTTCAAGTTTGGATAAAATAGCAACATTGTTCTGGTGAATTTCTTTGATGGGATTTCTCAAGGCGTGTGTAAATATTTTGTACAGTGGTCTTAATGTGTGGTTCCCCCCCCCCGAGTATGTTAAACATCTGCATGTCATTGTAATGCTTATATGGAGGATATTAATGCACATCGATCAAGTGAAGTTCTTGATTTTGGTAAACATTTAAATGTCGTGCTTAGAATTTAGACCATGGGTTTAATGTTTACAATTG